CTTAGTTTGAGTTGATTTGAGCAAGTTAGTTTCTCTTAAGCTTAGTTTGAGTTGACTTAAGCAAGTTAGTTTCCTAAGCTTAGTTTAAGTTGATTTAAGCAAGTAACATTCTCTTAAGCTAAGTTTAAGTTGATTTAAGCAAGTTACTTTCTTAACTTTGTTTAAGTTGATTTAAGCAAGTTACTTTCTTGAGTTTAGTTTGAGTTGATTTAACTAAGTTACTTTCTTAAACTTAGTTTAAGTTGATTTAAGCAAGTTAGTTTCTCTTAAGCTTAGTTTGAGTTGATTTAAGCAAGTTAGTTTTAAGCTTCGTTCTAGTTGATTTAACTAAGTTGCTTTCTATCAAGCTTAGTTTAAGTTAATTTAAGCAAGTTCGTTTCTTAAGCTAAGTTTGAGTTGATTTAAGCAAGATACTTTCTTAAGCTTAGTTTGAGTTGATTTAAGCAAGTTAATTTCTTAAGCTTAGTTTGAGTTGATTTAAGCAATTTACTTTCTCTTAAGCTTGGTTTGAGTTGATTTAACTAAGTTTTTTTCTCTTAAGCTTAGTTTTAGTTGATTTGAGTAAGATACTTTCTTAACTTAGTTTGAGTTGATTTAAGCAAGTTACTTTCTTGAGTTTAGTTTGAGTTGATTTAACTAAGTGACTTTCTTAATCTGTGTTTAAGTTGATTTAACTAAGTTACATTCTATTAAGCTTAGTTTGAGTTGATTTAAGCAAGTTAGTTTTTCTTAAGCTTAGTTTGAGTTGACTTAAGCAAGTTAGTTTCCTAAGCTTAGTTTAAGTTGATTTAAGCAAGTTACTTTCTTAACTTTGTTTGAGTTGATTTAAGCAAGTTACTTTCTTGAGTTTAGTTTGAGTTGATTTAACTAAGTTACTTTCTTAAACTTAGTTTAAGTTGATTTAAGCAAGATACTTTCTTAAACTTAGTTTAAGTTGATTTAAGCAAGTTAGTTTCTTAAGCTTAGTTTGAGTTGATTTAAGCAAGATACTTTCTTAAGCTTAGTTTGAGTTGATTTAAGCAAGTTAGTTTTAAGCTTCGTTTGAGTTGATTTAACTAAGTTGCTTTCTATCAAGCTTAGTTCAAGTTAATTTAAGCAAGTTCGTTTCTTAAGCTAAGTTTGAGTTGATTTAAGCAAGATACTTTCTCAAGCTTAGTTTGAGTTGATTTAAGCAAGTTAGTTTCTCTTAAGCTTAGTTTAAGTAGATTTAAGCAAGTTACATTCTCTTAAGATTAGTTTAAGTTGATTTAAGCAAGATACTTTCTTAACTTAGTTTGAGTTGATTTAAGCAAGTTACTTTCTTGAGTTTAGTTTGAGTTGATTTAAGCAAGTTACTTTCTTGAGTTTAGTTTGAGTTGATTTAAGCAAGATACTGTCATAAGCTTAGTTTGAGTTGATTTAAGCAAATTATTTTCTCTAAAGCTTAGTTTAAGTTAATTTAAGCAAGTTATTTTCTCTTAAACTTAGTTTGAGTCATATGGGCTTGGCATCGTGGTCTTTATAATGTGTTTTGTTTTCGAGAATCTTTTAAAGCACCGCGCGCGCACAATTCATGAGACTTAGTCTAAAAACTTGAATAGTTCTCAATATTGACATAAGTCTTTAATTGTAATTTCTTGAGCATGCCCAATTTCTTATTTCTCTGTTAGAATTATTGCTAGTTTTTTAAGTTTTGGTCGAGTCTTATGGGTTTAGGATTGTGGCCTTTCAACGTTTTTGTTTTTTTTCCATTAATAAACATTGTCTGCGCCACAATTCTAACCTCATTGGGCTCCGTTTCAGCGACTGTGTTTAACTCTATATTTAACATCATTTTGTGTCTTTACCAAGTATAATATCATAAAAAGTAATCTGGATTTTTATAGAATTACCAAAACTTGATAATATTTATAGAAATAATAATATCTATATGATGGTGTAGTATTTAAATGTTTTGTTTTCCAGATATGGATGGGAAAATATCTGAGTTCTTAAATGTACTTTGTTAGAAACATTATAATTAAGCTCAGTTTCAGAGTTTGATGGGACTACACTATATTTTGATGCCTATTCCTGACAAAATACTTAAAGATAAGAACTATATCTACGTGAATCGTACAGTTATTCAAATTGAGTTTAGTTTTTACCATGATTTGAGTCATATGAAATTTGCACAGTGGTCTTTTATGACGAGTTTTTGATATTATCGTTAAAAGAGCCGCCGCGCAAATCTCATGTGGCTTCGGCCCAACATTTGTTCGTGTTATAAATAAATATTTATATATAGGCAATATAATGCAACAAGTAGTTTATTTTTTATGTGCATATACATATATGCACAACTATCTGAAGAATAGTTTTTTAGTTCGAGTTTCTACAAGTTGCATTTTTTTCGAGTCATGTGGGCTTTGCACTTCGCTTTTTATACAACGTGTTTTTTTTATCGAATCGTGTATAAAAACGAAGTGTTCAACTCATGGGACTAAGTTACAGCGCTTGGAATTTTCTTTAAGTCTAATACGAGTTTCCAAATCTTACTTCATAGTTTTCTTATGCATAGTTTTAATTAATATTCTGAATAGCTTTATGTCCTACAAATTTAGCATAAAAATACATATAACCCATGGCTAAGAAACTTTATAGAGTTATAGTATTGTATTTCCTTGTAATATCATTTATTTTCTTCGTAAGTGGAGTTTTTAATTAACTCTGGCCAAGTCATTTGAGTTAAGCACAGTAGTTCTCCTAAACCGTTTTTTGTTTTATGCTCGGTTAAGAGATCTACTATGCTAACTCAAGGGACTCAGTTTCAACGTGTGAATTTCCTTTTAATTAAGTTCTTCTTAATACCAGGCTATTTGCCATAGATATATAGATTGGACAAACATTTGCATATTTACTATAAGTTACTATAAATGTATAATATGCGCCCAAATTGTTCTATTCTATTCTATTTCTGCAAATTGCTTGAAATAGACGATTTTAAAAACTGGTCATTGGAACGGTTGGATAAGGGCATAGTTGGACTACGTGGAGTCGATAACGCCTAAGATTAATTTAAGAATCAATACTTCGATAATACTTCAATCCACTTGGTACAAAAAAACAAGAATTGTTTCTGAGCCAAACTCAAGAACAGAATGGACAACATATGTGGACAGGATCTTTTGTCATGTACTGATCGTTAAACTCCTTGAAGCCCATATTGCCCATGCCCATCGTAAAAAGCGAGTTGAATTTAAGTTTTTGATAAAGAATGACAACCAAAATCATTCATTTTGTTGACAAGTTCGAGTGGTAAAAGCGACTTTGGTTCACTTCCATAAGCTCAGCCAGATAGAGTTTTATGGATTTTGCACACCGGGTCTTCGTATACGTGATTTAGCAAACCGTTGGAAGATCCGCTATGTAAAATTTATGGATCTCGCGGAACAACCAGCTTTTTGGGCTTCCTTGGACGCAATGCCGCGTACAAGCTGAGGTGAACACGTAATATATAACTGTTTATGATATGTTAAATATTGCTTGTTTACCCAGGCTGCATGCGGAACAGTTACCGAGATTGACATCAACTGTTGCAAATGCTAAACGAATCTGAACTGGCTGTTAAATGCGCTTGTCAAGTGTCGAAGTGTCAAGGTCAAGAAACGAGTGCATATCGTCGAATTCGTTATACTCTTACGGAGGGTATTATAACAATGTGACTGATTGGCAGAGTTATATAGAGTATATTAACTTGGATGCGAATGCTAGAATGTGCATTGATATATATATATGTATATATATATATGTGTGTGTGTGAGGGTATTCAATCTTCGGCTGCACGAACATAACAATTGCTCTGCTTGTTTTTGTTACATTTCGTTTCGTCGATTTGTTTTTATCTTTTGATATGCACATATACTCTATATATTTATATATATTTTGTTGCTCAGTGTCAAGCGCAATTGCTTGCATCTCGATGCTCTGCTTAAATGTGTCAGGTGCCATCGAGTGGTGCCTAGACAGACGTGAGGAGTGTACCTGAGCTTGTTTGGCCTTCAATTGAGAACTAAGCCCAAAAGGCAGTTAATGGCACAAAATATGCGCCAATTATCATAATGCATTTTGATTTATTGATTCGGAAAAGACTTGACTGATCGCGCCAAATTACTGTGAACAATATTATGTATCGAACTGGCGGATCGAAGTTTATGGCAAGATATTGCATCAGTTAGCAAATGAAGCACTCATTTCGAAAATTTGAGTGTTTCATTTGTTACTTGTTGAATCAATTGCCCCAGCTGCAATAAAAGTGTTACGTGTTTTTTTTTTTTTTTAGGGAGAACTGTTTTCCCAGCAGTTATTCCTTAAATAGAACACACAATTTAAAGGTTAATTAAAAAAGAAAAAAAGAAAAGAAAATGACAATGCTTTTACTTCCTCTTACTGCGAATCACGAATATTAATTGAATATACATATGTATGTAGATTATGGTGTAACGTCTGTGACATGCTTAGTCGACGCAAATATAGTTCTCGATATATCTATATTAAAATTGGCTGAGACAGTTACAGGCATTGCCAAATCAGCTGATCTATGTGATCCGATGCTCCAGTAAGAAAAGAAAAAAAAACAGTATTTAATAGAATATTTCGAGTTGCCATTTTGAACTATTGGATAATGTCTATTGCGCACATGTTCAACAACACGAGGAGTATATGATCTCTGCTGATCAAGTGAGCTATAAACGTTGCCCGATCGTTCGGTTTATATGAATCCGATATTGAGATAACACTAAAAACATAAGCCTCATCATTCTACGAAAACACAAAATCTTATCGTAAACAAGTTCGCGTATAGCGCGAATTTGCGGCCAGAACTAACCTAGCCTAACTTGAAATCAAAATCATGGAAAATAACTACATACATATAACCGAATCGGATAAACGCATTAATTATTTTCTAATGTTATTATTAGCATTAGTTGATTTCGATGGGGTGTGTTGCAAATCAGGGAATGGCAAGAATCAAAACTTACGTTGACCAAACTGACGCCAAAGCAGGCGACCCAACCCCAGCCGCCATCGGGTGCTACTTTTCTTGGTTGTTTCGTTGTCATTGTTGCTGTTGTTGCTGTTCTTGCTGTTCTTGCTGTTGTTGCTGTACTTGGTTTCTTGGCTGATTTCTTGTTTGTTGTTTTTGTTCTTTCGTTCTCTTCTTTTAATTTTTTGTTGTTGCTGCTTTTCCGGGCGCTTCTGCTTGGTGTCAGGTGCGCAGATGTATTGCTGTCGCTCTGTAGTGCATCGACGTATCTAGAATTATGGATATTCAGTGCGCCGCCTTCTCTTTGGTCGCCGTTATTTTTGTGTGTTTGTTTTGATTTATTTTTCTCGTGCGTTGCGTTGTTCGTTTTCTTGTCTTATTCAATCGTTGGGATTTTTTTGGAGCGCGTTGGGTGCTGTTTTTTTTTTTGTTTTTTTTTATTATTTTTATTTTTTTTTTTTTGGGTATGATTTTGTATTTGTCGCACAATCAAAAAAAATAAAAAAATAAAAAATAGAACTTGGAAAAAAAACACAAACTTGCCGCGCTGTGAAAAATGTTTTTTTTGTCAAAGTTCTAAGCAACGTTTCTTTTTTTGTTTCTTCTTACTTTTGTTGTTTTTGTTTCTTTCGGTTTTCTAACTTAGTGCCAAGGTTATTTTGTTGCTTCTCGGCGATGTAGTTGCTAATTTATTTTTATTTACTTGGCTGTTGTATTTGTGTGTTCTGTTATGTTAATGATGTCAAATCTGTAGCATTGTTGTTGCCATTACCTTGTTTTTTTTTAGTTTTCTGTTTTTTGTTCCCTCTTTAGTTGTTCATGTAACTTGTTCGTGTATTGTTTGTGTTTCATTTGTTGTTGTTGTGTTTTTTTTTTATATTTTTATTTTCTTTGTATTTATCAAATTTCTCGCATTTTGCTTGGTTCCGTTCAGTTATTTGTTAACGAATTTCTTATCTTGGCGTCGAGCGATGTTTTTTTTTCCATTCGTTATTTATAATTTCAATAATGTTTTATTTAAACTTAACACTGCGACATTTTACAATATATTAACTTACAAGGCACGTTTTTGCGAAATCAAAATAACGAAAACAAAAAAAAGAGCATTCAGACGAACTCGCGAAAAATTTATAAAAATTGAGTTTTGAACAGAAAAAAAAAAAACGAAAATATTTATTTTCTCTTTTAGGCCTGTCGTTTTCAAGTTTTGCCTTATTTTCCAGCTGTTCTAACTGACTGTTTTTGTTGTTTCTTTTAATTTTATTTTTTTTATTTTTTGTGTTCTATTGCCTCTCTCGCGTTGCTGTTGTGCCGCCTCCGTCGTTCTCAGCGTATTCTTGCCGTTTGCTAGCGTGGTCGCTTCGTGCAACGCTATTTATTACAAACGGGGGTGTGGGGGCCTGACTGGGCTCTCCGCATCGGTTCGATGTGTTACGCGCGACTGTTCAATCGATACTGACTGCCCGTCGACGTCGCCAACTGACTGCCTGCCTGCCTGCCTGCCTGGCTGGCCGCAACAGTGAGAGCAAGCGGCGGGAGAGCGCGTGAAGTGGACTCGCTTGGAGAGAACGAGTGGGGACAGCTGCGACGCTGAGTCAGTGTGTGTCAAGATCGCGCTCTAATGCTCGAGAGTAATGCCTGCTGCCTGCTGCTCCTCCGGTCATTTAATGTGCGCTGCAGTTGCCAAAAGCGCAACCCCAAAACGAAGCCAACAACAACAACGACAACAAGAAGAAGAAGAGCAACGTTGAATTTTTTTTTTGCTGGCCGACTAATTACGCGTCTGCTAACTTTCCAGCTCCTCGGCATTGTTCTTTGTTGGGATTTAGACACACGCATACTGCATACGTATACCTACGCATATTTGTATACAAACATATCCGCACATCATATACGCACGCAACCATGCATGTTCTTTGTCTTGGCCATGGCTGGAGTAACATTTGTGCTGGCCTCTTGTTGCAATATGCGTTTTTGCCTGCTTCTTGTATTCAACACATTGTTCACTTATCCATATCCACTGACTCAGTTGCGCAAACGCTCTCCCATTTCTGCACCTCTCGCTCTCTCGCTTGCTCCCTCTCAGACAGACATATATCTCTCACTAGCGCTGTTTTGTTACTTGTTGCTTTGCAGATCTTTTATGTGTGTGTGTGTGCGTGAGTCTTCGGTGAGTTTTAGGTGCTGCCAAATATCGGCCTGTTTTAAGGATTTGGATAGAACGGAACATTTCGAAAGTTTTGTTTTTTTTTTTTATCGGGCAATCTTATTAGGCGCACACCCCTCTTGCGCTGATATTTTCTCTTAAATCATTTTTTTTTTGTATAATTCGGAACAGCTTAACCTCTCTTCGACGGAATTCATTTTAACCTCTCTTCGACGAAATTCATTGTAACGCGAAAATTAATTAGGAAAAACAATATTCGGAATAAACGATAATAATGATAGGGATAGTGAACCTGTGTACATTCATTTATATGCAGGCTCTTGTGTGTACTTATAAGGGGACGATGTTCCGTTTGTTAAAGTCATGATATATATTAAGAAACGAAAAATTGTCTCCTGATACGAACACACGTACACTATCAAATATATATTAAAACTTAATATATATTTAAACATTTTGTCTACACTGTGGATATCCCTTACATAGTCATGACATCAATCCTTAAGTCCGACGATCGCTGTCCGCCCACGAGAGTGTTCACTGTAGTATATATACAGACCGTTGAATGTAATAGAAAATACCTGTGGACCGCAGTGGACCCTTCCCAGCAATGGATATATATTTTGTTCTCTTCAAAATATAGATATGTGCAGCTCGTTATTTCCATCAGGTTGCCGTTTTGCCAGCGCGTGGACTGAAAATATTCTTTTTAAATTAAAAAAAATTTAGTTGCAGTTTTTTAGTTTAAATTTTTTTTTTTTTTTCTGTTTTCTCTTTGTTTTTTGCACACTAGAAATATTTGTTGAATTCACACCTTGACTTCTTACAATTTGATGCAAGTGCACTGTCTTTACTTGAAAAAAAATGTTAAAAAAATAATATAATATTATTTTGCGCTAACACGATGCTGACACTGGGAGACCAAAATGGAAATGAACATTGAAGATTCGAAAACTAAAAACGAAAGCTCGGCTCACAGCTCGTTCCCTCGAGCGCCCAGTCTGAGCTCCTGCCCGGTCCACTGGCAAAGCTGCAATTGCGCAAATTGCACACCCGGAGTCACAGGTTTTGGACACGTGCATCTGCAGGATTGTTACGGGGCGTATGTGATATGTGCGTAAGCAGAGTCCTTCGAGGCCCAGTCCCAGTGTACACTGGGGGATAGTGTCAGGCCCAGGCGCCCAGCGTGTGTTCTGCCAAAAACAGAAAAAGATGACAGCTCCATGATAAAGAATCGATAATGTGAACAAAAAATGCAAACAAACCTTTTGGATTTACATGTCGCCGGCGGATTGTACGCTTCGTTTCCTTCCTGATGTGTTACATATACTTGTTGCGCCTCCCAAGTGACGTCATATGTTGACGCATATGCGCATACATACGCATGTGTGTGTGTGTGTGTGTTGACTTACATAAATAATCTCTGGGAGAGGCACAGCAACTTGAGGGTGGTTAGTTTCTGTTCAAGCTTCCGCTTAGATACTCTGTAAAAGAACAGCAATTTATACACACAGACATATGCACACACACATGTACAGACGTACGCATATGTATGTATGCGTATGTACATTTACATTTCAAACAAGAACCTGATGAAATTCATGCTTATTAGTATGTATATTTCATATATGTACATATATATATATATATGTGGGAGTGTATACAGCTATCGGTGTGACTAAATAAGCTGTTGTGCTCGCTTCTCATACCCTGGATCCATTTAAATGGCTAAAAATAATATGTTTTATACTAATGCGCAGTAACAGACATATTATATGTTATTCAACGGAAACCAAGTCGATCTAGCCAGGTCCGCCTGCAGGAACGCGCGTCAGACGAGAAGGGACGAATGGAAGGGATGAATATGAAATTTAAATTAGCGTATATTAAACACAGAACATGTTTATCAATTCCTGATATCTGCCCCATTTCTATAATATCGTTAAAAACCGATTGGGAGACTTTTGAGTGCCATGTTCAGGCCCTGAAAATTCAATGAAGATCGGACTACAAACTCCGAAGTTATTTCAGCAATGCTCGAAACGGCAGCTCGGCTGGGTGCAGAGCACCTGCTAGTCGGAAAATCTCGACTAAAACTCTCTAGTATGTTTTGGTATAGCTAAACTTTCTAATTATTTAGCATAACTATTCGGCTTATACGAATAGTTGAGTGCGCTGGAATCGTAGTGGAAAAGTCTATAGATTTGCATAAATCCTATTTGAAAAATTTGTAGATACTTTTAGTTGTGTTTGTTGTTCAGTAAAGTACTTGTATTATTCATAGTTGTTCTTAGTTTATTATATTGCCTTGTTCCATATACCCACATATATGTATGTATGTGTATTGTTGATAGACGTATCTATTGTTGTTGTTGTTATTGTTGTTGTTGTTGTTGTTTTTAGTGATTCCGAGCGATTTGTGTGGATGCCACACGCATCAACAGATTGCCCCCATGAATGGCAATGTATGGCAATGGGCGAAAAAGGAAATTAACTGACTGACTGACTGACAATGTGATTGATTGACAGACTGATGACGTACGCTTAAGTTCCGTTGACTGAAGCGGCATCGCAACAAAACAACGGCGACAAATTTGGTTTAAGTATGGGGTTCAGGAGTCCGACGGGTTCAGACTGGACAATATTTCCGGGCTCGCGTGTCCTATATGGAGCATAGGCATCCACATCCCCACATATGTATATCCATGACACATTCGATTTGTTTATGGACATTTTTCGGGGACAAGGGCAAAAGAACATATGTATGTATCTTAAAAATGTATTCGGTTGAGCTCTGACGTCATGCACATGTTCCCATAGAGTCGAGCTGCAAGTATATACATATACCCAAAATACTTGTACTCTCTCCCTCTAGAATTAACGCATGGAGTACATCACTCAGCTGTTCGACAGCTGAGCCGAAGGCGAAACTGGTTTCAGACATAGCACTCAGTTGTACTTGCACTCAGTTGATAACCCTTTGGCATATTAGATGCTACCCATTGCCAGCTGATCTGAAAAAGTACAAGTACATGTCAATTTCTAAAAGTAATGCCAGCCGGAACGTGTTAGCTTCTGAATAGAGCACATATATACACATATTTGTATTATCAAGTATCAATAATTTTTTATATAAATTGATTAATTCGCGTGACGCGTATATATTTATGTACATATTCAAATGGCTTATGAATTTCTCGTGATATTCACGTGCTCTCTAAACGATGCTCAGCTCTAGTCACAAGTTCTGGAGGCAACAATCAATGATTTTTATTCAATTATTGTTGCTGATCAACACAATTGACGAATCATTAAGCAGACACATTAAAATTACTTTGGGTTTTTTCAACATTGTAGAGGGTATACAAATTCCGCAAATTTTCCACTGTTGCGGGTGAAATTTCCAAAATCGCTGAAACACGTCTTCATTAAGTTCTTAATCGGACAGAGCTTAAAACTAAGCTGAGAAAGCTTAAATTCTGCGAGAAGTGCGTTTTCATCAGGATCCTTGGAAATGAATTTGAGCCCGAAACTTCACTCACCAAATCTTTGAAACCTATTTCCACCGAGAAGGGATGAAGGAATCGAAAAGTGTAAAACACCTGGTAAATGAATTTGAACACAGATATTTGAAAATGACTTTGAGATGTTTCGGATGGCAAACAAAAAAGTTTCACACAAACGCTTTTCGCGATTATTCCACACTTGCGAGTGAAATTCCCCAAAACCCCGTCTTAGGATGCAGCTTCATAAGATACGGTGCCTATAGTAAAATGATCACCAATCAGTCAATCAATCCCTAAGTAAGTCAATCGCCTGATTGTCTAGTCGGACAAATAGTTATATGTATACAGATGGAGATACAAAGAGTACAAAAGCCTAACATATTGATATCGTCCCCTTATCCCCCAAGCGATAGCAATAGCAGGGCGTTCCTTTAACATATGCAAGAAAGGGCGTTTGTTTCTGCGGTTCGAAATAGCGTCAAAAGTTATCTTCCAGTCGACACTATTTCTTACCCCATTGACGAAACACTTTTAATCTCACCGTGGGCAATTCTTCCCCATCTGCCCGAAAGGGAAATCCGCATATTCCAGGGAAGTGTTGATCAAATATGGAATAGAGTGCATTTAATAATACTGCCATGATTTACAATTGCTAATATAATAATAAGCGAACAAATGGCGAAATAGTTGACATTCGAGTCACGAAAAGTACGAAAAGTTGCTCAGTTTTTATTGAGGCTTTGCAATCGAAGAGTAGTTTTGATATGCTCTTGGCTTGTAAAGTGTCAACATGAAAGGAGCGTAGTTTCCAGCCTCAAGAAACAAATGTGCCAATGTGTTAAAGATATTCATCCAAGGCGAAAAGTATGCAGAGAAAACATGTCCAATAATAAGGCGACGAAGCATGCAACACTTTTCCACATTCCAATTGGAACGGACAACAAAGACATTAAAAGCCACGACATCCTAGAAGCCGATAATACGGAGGTAATATTATATATAAAACATACATTTAATCATTTTCTTGTTTATATTATGCTCAATCTCATTATCTTATCAATTTAGCTAAGAAGCCTACACGAAGGACTTTAGAATTGTTAGGATATTTATGAGAGCGTTCAGCTTGCCCTGGCACTTTCTAATCAAAGAGATGATATTTATTCAATCTTTGATTGTAAAGGGCTATAGCGGGAGGAACGCAAATTGCATCAGTTACTTGGCATTGTGGGATGAATATTGCTGGAACAGCGAAATGTGTGCAGACCAATCAACTTAACAGCTTATTCTCAAAGATCTTTGAGAGAATTTATTTTAAACGTGCCACGGGTAAGGCCTGCAACATTATTCTTGGTCAAAATTAATGTGAAAATGCATACATACACACACACACATACATACATACACACACATACATACATACACAAACATACATACATACACACACATACATACATACACACACATACATACACACACATACATAGACACACACACATACATACATACATACACACACACACACATACATAGACACACACACATACATACACACACACACATACATACACACACATACATACGTACTTACATGCGTACATGCACATATACCTAAATACATGCCTACATACATACCTAAATACCTACATACATATCTACATACATACATACCTACATACATACCTACATACATACATACCTACATACATACCTACGCCTCCTGCTCCGCCCCCTTGGTTCTCCTCCGACTCCTCAGCTTCCATCGTTGAAGCCTAATTCATAGGTGAAACTTGCAAGCCTTGCTTACATTTTTGAGAATCGAGGAGGAGGGCAGCTTTGATAAATACGTTTTCTTATTTGAATTTGTCGCGCAACAAGACAATTTGGTCTGCTATTGGTATTTTATAAGACAATTTACATGCATACATACATACATACATATATATACGCACATACATACATACAAAGACATACACAGACATACACTCACATACATACTTACATACATACATATATTCATTCTCTTATCATTCATTCATTTATTCATTCATTCGTTCATACATACATACATGTATATATATACACATGCATACATTCATACATACAAACACACATATGTATATGCATACATACATATATACAAAATCAATTTGGCATCTAATTCTGACAATATTATTCTTAGTCAAAATTCGTGTAAATATGGTACCCTCAAATATCCTATATAGACATAGGTCAACATTTTCCAACCCCATAACTTGGTCAAATCTCATCAGATTTGCACGAGGCTTGGCTCTTTGTTCATGGTTCGGCCCCTTGATCAATTTGGCATCTAAAGCTGGTAAAATTATTCTTGTATTTATATAAGTATTTATCCTTATTCTATACTCTTATTTGCATCTGGTAATAGACATATGAGATAAGATATTTTTATATGGATACTTAGACATATAATATTATACTTTTATATGCATCTTGCTCTTGTTTATTGATACTTATACTATATAGAAGATGCATATACAAGTATACGTTAGGATAGAAGCTTAGTTAAAGACATGACATAGATAGATACTTATCTCATGTGTCCATTTATAAGTCGAGATCCAAATTTTAACTATTAAATGCATCTTGCTCTTCTATATCGAATAAGTATCTATAAGTATATGCACATATAATATGTCCATAAGTCTTACCAAGTTTCTATTCCTAAACCGAAAAATAAAGTTATGTATTTATTTTTTAAATTTAATATGCTTGTTTGTCTTCAAAAAAACTACCTGCCCCGGGTGAGGCTCGAACTCACGACCTTAAGATTATGAGACTTACGCGCTGCCAACTGCGCCACCGAGGCCTTGAAGATAGCGAGAATTAGATAAAGATAAAGATATAAATATATATATGTAAATTTATATATACATGCATCTTGCTCTTCCTTAGTTAGGCCTTTTGCAAAATTCAACATATTTATTTAGTATAGAGTATTAAGTGTCGATGTTTATGTGTTTGCCAATATTGTTAAAGGGTATTAACAAAGGCGTTCAGTTTGCACTGGCACTTTCTAGTCAAATAGTGTTTTGTATATACTCTTTGATTGCAAAGGGCTAAAGCCAAAGGAGCGCATTTACGTCGATTTCAACAATTAATTTGTATTTCCAAATAAACTACATATATAAGTATATATGTATGTACGCATTTATGCATCTCGATTATTGCACTTTCCACTTTCAATTTCTTTATTTTAGATAATTCGTTTTGGCAACTGCCTCCAAAATACTTTAACAAGACCTTCAAATTGCGAAAAAGATTCGTCCCTTACAACAGGGCCTCGGTGGCGCAGTTGGCAGCGCGTAAGTCTCATAATCTTAAGGTCGTGAGTTCGAGCCTCACCCGGGGCAGGTAACTTTTTTATTGCTTTTAACAAATATTAAGAACAACTTCAAATGTGCAAGGATACAAGAACAAGTTGAATTTAATTGATAGGGTTTATAGTCAATGTACATACATATATACAATATTAGGGATAAGAACTTAGCCAAGCTTCGATGTGTTTATATATGTATATTGAGACATTGCCAATTAAAGATCAAATCACTTACCCCCTTTTCTTTTTTTTTTTGGTTGACAATCTTCTTGAAGGGTATTCACAGCGGCGTTCAGCTTGCACTGGTACTCCGTACTCAAAGAGCGAATTCTGCATACTCTTTGCGTGCAGAGGGCTAGATCGGGCGGAACGCAAATGCATCAATTTGGGCCTTTTCTTCAGAGAAAATAACATTTAAAATATATGTTATTATTTATTAGTCATGGCTGACAAAATCCCCAACTGAACCCTCTCCGAGGGTGTCGACCAGGCAACGGATCTCCAGTTTCCTTTACCAGGGGACGGATCCGGCTAAGTTTGCCCCGTGACTTGCTTGTGTTACACGGTGCGGCACTGTGGAGCACGCGGAGAACATGGTTGGTGGTCGGGCAGGGGTGAAGTCCGTAGGTCATGGCGCCATCTCACCCCCAATAAGCCAGGGTGTCATGCGACCCGGGTGTCATCCACCCAGAGGTAGAACGCTGGCAACGCTTGGAGGAGCGCAGCAGACTCGGCAGCTGCTCCAGCTCCCATCTCGGCTGCACCAAAGGAGGAGCAACGGAGAAGAGCCGCAAGAGGAAGACGCGGCCAGAACGGATGGGGATGCCAACAGCTGCATCGACTGTACAACCATAGCTCAAGTTGAGACTCCTAAGGTGCATACAAACGCCTTGCAGCCTTGCACAGTTGGAGCGGACGAGGAGCTGTCGCTCAGTGATGGGTTGTCGGAGACATTGTGCACCAGCATCACACAAATCAGCCTGCAGAAAGCGAGGGCAGCTTCAGCAGGTTGGTTGCCAGGCTAGAACTGGGGCTGAGCCACGCAGTGGAAGGGCAGCCTGCAGGTAATCCGTGGGACTACATTTAGAGCTATTATCTTAATACAAAATAATATTGAATATCTCAGACGCGAGCAAAATGGGAAAGAGGCATCAAGACATAAACCCTAAAGGACTTGGGCAACAGGAAGGCCAACCCACATAGAAGGTGGGCATATGCTTAATTATAATGTAGATAGAGGTTTAAGGATTCTCAACATGGGTTCAGAGCCCAACCTGAGAGATTTTCTGTGTGATGAGACTGTGGAGACTGAAGAGTCTCTTTTAAAGCATCACAGTCGGATCGTGGGATTGTACTATTCTATTCTAGTTTATACTAAACTTTATACTAACAGTAGGCAGAGTTTACTCTTCATTAGACAGTTGGTTAACCCAGAGGTTCAGACTTTTGTAGCCTATCCAACATTCTACATACTGCATAATTGTAGCAATTGCTAGCTGAAGCGCGCATATATTTCAGTATTCCTCTTTGGTTACAGGGTATTAACGACGTACAGCTTGCACTGGCGCTTTATAATCAAAGAGTGACTTTAATATGCTCCTTGATTGTAAAGGACCATAGCGGGAGGAACGCAATTGCATCAATTACATAAATCAATCTCTTGACACTTGTGACTGGCATATTCCTGGAACAGCTGAAAGTATGCAGAATTATTTTTATAATACGTGCGCCCTAAAATAGGCAATGTTTTTTATATATATAGATAACATATCAATTGAATGAATGTTACCTTGATACGAATTGGTATTTATATAAATATATTTTTTTATATAAGTAACTCAATGTTAACAACTTTTCCATCTGATTTTCCATTATCCTAGACAAGCGCTCAACTCAAGCTAGAACATTGTTTGCAGCGCGTCATGCGGCCTCGGTGGCGCAGTTGGCAGCGCGTAAGTCTCATAATCTTAAGGTCGTGAGTTCGAGCCTCACCCGGGGCAGCTACTTTTTTTTTTGCCTGCCATTATTTTTGTGTGTTTTTAATTTTTTGCCTGACAACTAGGCAACGGCACCCAGTGCAGAGTTCCGAATGTTTGAGTAAGTAACATATATAAGTATAAATATTTTTGTTTTTGATAGAATGTGTTCTTTCAGTTTTGACCGATTTAATGCTGGCGGCATTCCCTTTGACAATTTGTCTTCAATTTTATCGCCACACACTATCAGCTTATCGCTAATGTGCGACTGAGTCAAGTTCGCACTCGGTTCCTTGGACTTTGGGCTGGCTGCCTTAACATCATTCGTACGTGTTCTGCCTAGATATAGGAATTGGAAATTTGACTTCAACAGCTGTTTGACATTACTGAAACTCTAGCCCTAGCTATGATGAACTGAAGGACTTGTTGCACTCAACATTATGTACTCAATATATATTCATTTGGGCCAGTCCGTTGCCATGAAACAAAAGACCTAAAGTGTCCGCCTGCCGATTGATATATACATATGTTTGTTGTTTCTGGAAAGAAGTACGTAGAAGTATAGTTCGTAAGTACAAGCTGTTTTGTTGATGATTGTTTTTTGGTCAAGTGTGGTTCTACTGTGGCATTCATTCATTTTGGGGGCAGGTCTTTATTGCCATAAGTGTGTGTATATGTGTGTATGTTTTTTTATATTTATTTCGTATAGCGTGTTTTTGTTTTATTGCTTCGCTGGGCATATTGGCACAGGCCCCGCTTGGGGCAGAGGGGCGGCAGGAGACACACCCACTTTGGTCTTTGCACCGCGACCCAAACAGGCGTACACGGCAATTATTAGAATTCAGCTTATCAATAAGAGAATTGTGATAAATGCAAACCATTTTTATGAACGACATGTACAAAGGTCCCAAGCAAGTGGAATGTTTTTCTGTTATCCACCGAAGCCGCCGCCTAATTGCCAGTTAACCAATTGTTAAGGCCATCTCAGAAGGCCATTCTACAAAGCTACAAAAAGGGAAGAAAACGAATATTCAGCTCACAGATTGCATTCACACACTTACATATGTATGTATACATATTCATATAGAGGATATGGCGGCCAGATAATTGTGAAAATGGAAAAGTTTTCATCGAGGCAGCATCATTATCTTCCTCACAACGCATTAATCTAAGGGAAAAATAAAGTGAAATTCTACGAATTTATGTTTTGCAAACCCAACAAAAATGTTTTGGGCTGCGATTCACAATTCGAGCTAATTCCAATAAAATTCCATTTTAATAATCCCAATAAGAACCAGCTTTTGAAAAGAGCTTTGTTCGGTTCAGAGGTTCTGCCAAGTCAAAAAGCAGCACAAACCATTTATAAAAAGGATGATCTGTTCAGTTTAAATATTATTATGGGAATTGAAAGTCAAGAACTTGGAAAGTCGAGAACTTGGAAAGTCGAGAACTTGGAAAGTCGAAAACTTGGAAAGTCGAAAACTTGGAAAGTCGAAAACTTGGAAAGTCGAATACTTGGAAGGTCAAGAACTTGGAAAGTCGAGAACTTGAAAAGTCGAGAACTTGGATAGTCAAGTATAACAAGTTATAAAATTTGTTTTGGCATAATAAAAGATATCCTATTGTTGAATCTAGTGTATTCCAAACTTGAATAAAACCAATTAATTATAATTATAAATATTTGCCAAATATTTATATGATGATTATTATTAGTTAATTAGGATAGCCAAGCTACAATAAAAGCACTTCAATTTGTGCTCCAACACTTCAATTGATGTAAATAACAATGTCTGAGGCATTGATAGATTTGTTTGCTCGACCAAAGCATTGAAGCAGGCCATACAGACCAGTTCCAAAGAGAGAGAGAGAGAGAGGGGAAAGAGAGCTCTTACCAATCAGAAATGTAGTGCGTATTTCCATAGCCATAGGCCAATATGGCACGCCATCGGGGCCTAAAGATCTAACATACATATGTGATATTCAATTTGGCTAAAAGCACTAGCCTTGGCAATGGAATGGATACGGCCGCTGGGAAAATGCCCGACCATTCGACTAGGCACTTTAAGAAACGCACAGTGGTCCAAGCACAATTTGCACAAGAAAACAAAAGAGATATTTTCCCAACTATAAAAGCCTTACATAAAATTTTTTTTTCTTTTTACTTTCACCAAGATCTTAATATTACAAAATATTTCTCCTTTCAAGTTAAAAACTATCAATAAATATTCGATTTATTTTATTTTTTTGTTTCGTTTTTATTCTCATTTTGCGAGTACTCGTGACACTGTGCGCCATGGCCAAATCAAATTGTAATCGCTCTTCCTATCGTAATGTATTTATGAATATGTGTTTAGCTGTGTAACTGTGTGTATTAGTGAATGCATTTATGTTTTTATCTGCATTAGTATGCGTGTGTGCGCCTGAGTGTGTGTGTGTGTGCGTGTGTTGTGAGTGCTGATAATTGTCCCGCTCCGACGCCCAGCAATAACAATACAAACGGCAAATAAAAACAGTAAAGGCGCAAAAATTCTTATCAGAAACGAAAAATATGTACAATTTCTTTTCGATTTTATGCACTAGCAAGAGGGTATACCGATTTTGTCACAGCATATGTGACACCATGAACTAAATATCTACGATCCTATAACGCATATATATTAGACATATTTACGTTAAAAATTTGATCAGCACGATCTGGACGAGTTCTTTTATGATATAGAACTTAATTATAATGTGCTTATATAATTTTCTAATTATGTATAGAATATATACAAAAATACATATGTAGTAAATATATATATATATATATATATATATATATAGATAGTGTAATGTTCGAAAGGAAAGTTTTAGACTGTGTTTTCAAGACCTTAAATATACTTTGAAAAATGTTAACTTTTTAATGACCATAAAGTCTGTTCAAAAGCATTATATAGAGATATATATATATGGACAAAAGATTTGTTCAAGTAATGCTAGGATCATAAGAGTTTCTAATATGAATTGATAAAAAATTGATATTTGTAATATACACTAACTGATTTAATCGAATAGAGCTTAACGAAAGCTTTTTAAGTAGAGTTAGGATCAGAAGAATCTCTACCGCAAATCGAATAAAATCTCTGTTAGGGCAGTCAATCTTCGGCGTGCTGCAAATGTTTTTTTTTCTATCTCTCGTTTTTTTTTTATTTTGAAACAGTCAAAGCTCGAATACAAAATATCGAAAATAAAAACGAATGGAAACAAAAACAGCCATAGACAAAACAAAAAAAAAATACGCACACGCGGACATCCCGTTCGAGCGAAAGTAAATGTGAAAAAAGCCGCTCCGCATGTGAAATGATATAGTAGACACGCACACACGCACACATACACGCACACAGACACAGCAGTGACGGTCACACACACAGACAGTCACAGACACAGTCACACACACGTGCGCCCACACGCACAAACAGAGAGAAGCGCTGTATTCATGTGTAAATGAGAGCGCATTTTGGTGTGCTTGTATTTGTGGTCGGCTGCGACCGTTTAATACTATAATTTACAAATTTGTTCGGTTCAGTTCGCGCTGGAGTACGTTACGGCAAAGTTGTCCCCCGTTTTGTTTTAATTGTGTGCGTGTATTATTTTTTTTTTGTGCTTTTTGTTACAAGGCGCGAGACGCACTAAGCAACAAAAACAACAACAACAACAACAACAAGCACAAAACGTATGCCGGCTTTTAATGTGTGTGTGTGTGTGTGTGTGTGTGTGTTTGTTGTAAAGCTTAGCATTAATTACAATGATTATTAGCTAACCATTTGCCGTTAGCTACACTCAAAGAAAAACGCACGTGCGTCTGTCACACACTGAACTTTGTCACGTGCAACGGCATGGCAATTATGGGTATTATCGGTGCATACCTCAGGTGCCGCTGAGTCCTTTATCAGTTAATACTCGATTTTGAGCGGGCATCAATCAAAGTCGACATCAATCACAGATTGGCTCATTGCGTCGGCGCACGCGGCTTAACACCTTGTTGCCGCCTTGGCCCCAACCCAGCCCAGTCCAGTCCAGCCCAGTCCAGCCCAGCCCCATTCGCTAATTACTGGAAAGTTGATTTGAACGGTGGCTAACATAAGGCAAACAGCGCCCGTCTCGCTTATTATACACTCACAAAGGGTATTATGATTCTGTCATGCAGCGTGACACGCAAAGTTCTAAAGTCTGCTTAGGTCTGTCTTTCTATTTTATATATGTAGATGTCATAGGACTGATCGGTCAATATTAAAGTTATCGTATGAAAAACATATTTCCAAGATATCCTCATTGAAAACGACATTTATGAGTTTTGTCAAGTTTCTCATAAACGAGCAAAATCAAAAAAAAATCGGTCGGAGAACGAGTTTTAGGAAATACTCTTCTTTTCAAACTACAAACCGTAACAAATCAGACTGTTATATATATATATATATATTTATATATATATATATCGGAACAATCGATCGCGAGTAAATCTTTGGTCTAGATGCATTTTGAAGGGTATTAAAACTTCGTTGTTCGACAAGTTGTCGTTTTTCTTGCTATTAGCATAATTCGAGTCGTCTCGTCTTTTTATTGTGCAAATATAGTTTTATTTTATTGAGTGTCGCGCGCTGAGAGCCAGCCCCGTCGTATATTTCATTCAGTTTGAGCTCTAATTGCACAAATGTTTGCTCTTAGCTTAGTCGCTATAAAGTTAATATTGCACCTGCCGCTGGCGTCTACTGTGCCAGATCATAAACACTTACGTGTACCCAGCTGGATGTTGGCTTAGAGTAGGATGTTTAGTTAGTGTTACTAAAATTTATAATCACCAAATTTACGACCGCAAAACGATGATTCGCATTTAGCTGATAATGATTGTCTGCAAGTAAACTAACTATATTTCCTATATACATATATATATATATATGTTTGAGTATATACAGCCATATATTTTATATAGTTTGCTTTTACTTTCCAATCAGATTGTGGAGACATGTGAGGATAGCATCAGGAAATAATGGAATTATTTAGTCATGACATGCATATGTGAATATCTATCTATATAGAAGTCTTGTCATATGCATATCAAGAGCTTTAGCTTTTGGTTGCCGCGACGAACAGTGCCTGCTGTCAGTCTACGCCAAGCCCGGCACATGCTTTTTGATTGATTACTTTGGCAAGGTTTCAGTTTCAGTTCCAGTTTCAGTTTCAGTTGCAGTGTCTTATCAACGGTTAAATCCCCAACAGGAACTGGCTTAGTTGTCATATTATTGGGATATTGGCACACATTTTGATTGTTCAAATAAAACTATGACATATGTATGTATGCTGGCGGTCGAATACCGAGCATGAGTATGTCTGAATAAGAGGCCAGCATATCCAAAATATTCCATAAATATTGCATTTGTTTACCACAGCCCCCCCCCCCCCCCCCCCCCCCCCTCTCCGCCGTCCTTCCGCCCGTTCACGCCATCAATTGAATAGAATTCTGGGTAAGGTGATTCAAGTCTGCGATGATTTTAGCTGAAACATGATTTATTTGTATTACATTTGATATAATTTGCGCAATCAATTCGTTATGGATAATGAATCAAATTAAATGACGCTTAACACTTTAACTTCGATCTATAAACAGACTTAGGGGAAAACTAACAACGATTCGGTTCCGATTCTCGCTAGATATCACAAGGATAACGGATCCGGTCTGGCTTTTTAGTCCCAGTTATCAGTTTAAGAGTTCATTATTAAATTCGCAATTTAAAGACGTCAATTGTTGGAGATTTTGCTCGTACTATTTTTAAATTGTTATTTGAATAGCAAACTAACAATTACAAAGTCTGTAAAAACGTATTTCTGGCGACCTTCCGCACAACATTCTATGTAACTATTATTATTATTATTATTATGAGTCGATAATAGTCGGTTCCAAAGCTCGGTTCGCGGCCAGCCGACTCGGGAGCTCGGGAACTCGGGAACTCGCGTTGTTTAATTTATCTATCTGGACAAAATGCCAGTCAGTTGAGCTGTTGCTTTACAGCTGTCAACAGCAGCTTAGCCCGCGACATTCACACGCAAAGACCCCGTTCCGGGCGACCGTGTCCAGTGTCCAGGCAACCAAGCCAAGGTAGGTGGACCGTGCTCTTATCGCCTTGGAAGTGGAAGCAGTTACGTGGAGGCGGCGCAGCCGAACAATTTAAAAGTGGAACTGCTTGGCTGGCTTATCGCCGCGTGCCAATTTCAATGTTCGACGTTTGTCAGTTCTCGGCATTCGGCACTCGATTCTCGGCTCTCGGCACTCGGCTTTTGGTTGTGGCTTGTCGTCATTTCATAACGAAATGCCGAAGATATCTTTGACACGATATCGCCGTCATTGGCGTTTATGGGCTCCGAGAGCCTGGTCAATGCCATATTCGGCTGGTATATGGCCCTAAATGAGGGCCACTCGAGCGCGCTCTCAAAGTGCGATCGCTAAAACTCGATACAAATTCCAAAAAAAAAAACAAAATCGCAGCGATAACAACAAGAACAACAGCAATTAATGAGGTTTCATTTTGGGGCTATTTATATAATGGGTGTTACTTCTGCGGGCTTAATTAAGTGAAAAGAGAGCTAACGAAATATAATTTTTGGTCAGTGCGATCAGCGGCAACGTTCCGTTCGGGTCGATCATTCCGCTGGCTCTGATAGTTCCGATAGTTCTCAAAATTTGCATAATTGTAATTGTTGCTTAAGTTCGTAAGAAAATAGAATGTGAAATAATATATGGCGATTAATTAACACGACTGTTCGCCAAATGAATTGAATAAACATCTCTGTTCCAAATGAGAGCTATAATAATAGCATGTTCCGAATGCTTGAAATGGCATCTAATCTAATCTCTGCGGCTGTGTTTCGGTTTCTGTTTCTGTTACTTTGGAAATTAACCGAAGATCGCAAAGAAAGCTTTTAATTAATAACGTGTTGATGATCTTATCTTGGCCCATTCAAGTGTTTCCACTTTCCACTTTCCACTTGCTGCTGTAACTAAACCCTCCCCTCCCCTCCCCTCCCCTCCACCACCTAAGCTATTCCATTTTGGCCCATTTGTGCGCCCTTCTCTTGTCAGCAACTCGCTGATAAAACTTACACATACATATATGCACATATAAATAAATAATATATACTTCTAATCAGTTTGCTGAAAAGCGGAAAGTTAACAAATAGTTCTGCTTTCTACACATGTTATTTAGTATCAAGTACATTAAGTTCTAGCTCAGAAAGATATAACCTTTTTATATGATAAAAGTAAATCCATCTCTAAGAATATCTGTATTGCGACTTACCATTGTTTCCATGTCGTTGTGGAAGGCTGATGAGCCTTAGGCGAATATTCCGAGTCAATTTCCAAACAAGACAGTCACAATGATTTGCATATTTTGACGACGTGCATCAGACATCAGTTCGACCTGTTGGCGTCGTCTCTGATCTGACCTGTTCTGATCTGTGGGGGCAGCGATAGCGACTCTTAGTCCGGGTAGAATTAACAACGCGAAGCTCCCGATTCCATCTTCAGCAGACTATGATTGCAAGCACCCTGTGTCCTTTTCGAAGCTTTAACAAGTTGAGAATTACAAGGCAATAACAAAAGGCAAAGCCTTAACTCTGGGTCAATAAATATGCATTTTGAATAAGTGATTTCTGGTGGTAGCCCTAAAAGTCGAGCTCCATTTAAAGAGCAGCTAGTTCTACTTTTTCCCAGAACTCATCGAGCTGCGACCATTGAACTTTTGCAGGCATCTTGTGACCAGCCAATGATCAGTGTGACCACCCAGTGATGCAACAGTAGGACCAGCCTTTCAACGATGACTGATTACAAAAATGGCAGCAGCCCGGCCAGCATTAACAACAATATTAACAACAACAACAACAGCAACAACAGCAGCAACAGCGGCGCGCTTAGACTAATATTGCCCAAGGAGCAGGCCGAGACGCCGCAACAAACAAAGTATGAGGAACAGCCACCCAAGCAGACAACAACAACAACAGCAACAACAGGAGCAGCCGCGGCGCATCCAGATAATCATCCCACAAAGAAGAAGCGGCGGGACAAGAGCGACCTGGGCGATGACTTTGTGGCGCCCGACGGCGGCTGGGGCTGGTTGGTGGCCGTCGCCAGCGGCATCAACATTGTAAGTAGCCGACACTAATCCCAATCCTTATCGAATCACATAGCACATGAGCACATAAATATATGAACATTCCGAACCCTTTCAGCTGGTCACTTTTGCATTGGCGCAACAGTTTGGCATCATCTTTCGCGCCCGGTTCGCCAACCTGGGCATCAGCAACTCGGAGTTGACGACCATCATCAACACTCAGATAGCCGTCTCCGCCTTCACAGGTGAGTTCCCGAAACTTAACGAAACGAATCTTCAATCTTCACAAAGAAAGGTTTGACTAAGTTCGTCCATGTTGAAAGTGGAACCAAAGTTCTCATTACTTATACTCTGCTTTCCACTTGGACAAAGTTACGTCTAGTAAAAGTAGCATGAATTCCCTTAAAGATATATACATATACTCCACAAGCTAACCAAGTCAAATAACTAGATTCGAGCCAGAATCCGCACGGTTCATAGAGAAAATAAAATATAATGCCAAGTTGAACCACTTAAACGGTTCAAACCCCTAGTTTCTCGCAATCCGCGCGGTTCTTAGAGAAAATAAAATATAATGCCAAGTTGAACCACTGAAACGGTTCAAACCCCTAGTTTCTCGCAATCCGCGCGGTTCTTAGAGAAAATAAAATATAATGCCAAGTTGAACCACTTAAACGGTTCAAACCCCTAGTTTCTCGCAATCCGCGCGGTTCATTGAGAAAATAAAATATAATGCCAAGTTGAACCACTTAAACGGTTCAAACCCCTAGTTTCTCTTAATCCGCGCGGTTCATAGAGAAAATAATAAATTAAAATGCCAAGTTGAACCACTTAAACGGTTCAAATCCCTAGTTTCTCGCAATCCGCGCGGTTCTTAGAGAAAATAAAATATAATGCCAAGTTGAACTACTTAAACGGTTCAAACCCCTAGTTTCTCGCAATCCATGCGGTTCATAGAGTGATAATAAATTAAAATGCCAAGTTGAACCACTTAAACAGTTCAAACTTCTTGTTTTGGTTAGGGTCAGATCGTTTTTGTTCTTTGGAATTTCTTTGTGCATCTAAATGTATTTTGATGTATATTTGCCAGGTCTGCTGAACGGTCCATTGTTCCGTCGGTATACGTACCGGGTGGTGGCCCTGGTCGGCTCGGTGCTGACCTTTGTGGGCCTGTTCTGGATGGTGTTTGCGGATACGTTCACATTGTATCTGCTGAGCTTCTCGATTATTTACGGCTTCGGACGCGGCCTGACAGTGTCCGCCTCCTCGCTGGCGGTCAACACGTACTTCAAGTCGAAGCGGCGGACGGCGACCGCGTATCAGTTCGGCGTCGCCGGGCTGGGCCCCATAGTGTGCCCCTACTTTGCCACGTTCATGCTGCAGGAGTTCGGGGTCCAGGGCACGACGATGCTCTTTGCCGGCGCCTCGCTGCACACGATCGCCTGTTCGCTGATCTATCAGCCGGTCAAGTGGCATGTGGTGAAGCGGGACAAGGACGCGGAGGCGCTGCAGCCGCCCAAGTCGCAGGCGCTGGTCGACGACGAGGACGAGGACATCATCAAGCATGTGGTCGAGCCCGAAACGCCAGTCCTGCCGCGTGCCAACGACGGCTGGTTCGGTTCGCGTGCATCCCTCAACAGCAGCGGGACACGGAATCGGCTCAACAGCTGGGACAAGCAACAGGGCGGCGAGCGCGGCCACCTGGAGCTGAGGCGACTCAGCAGCCGTGACTCTGGTGGCGGCCGGCAGCATCGCAGCATCTCCGTCAGCCACAGCATCAAGGAGGAGACGCACGACCAGGACGTGGCCGACTATGATTATGAGAATCGCGACCAAACGCAGCCGCTCAAGCCGCAGACGCAGCCGCAGCTGCTGACGGCCAAGCAGCTGCAGCAGCTGGAGGACGAGCAGGAGCAGGAGCGCCGCAAGAAGCTACCGTTCTACAAGAAGATTGTCATCTTCTTCGATCTGGATCTGCTGCGCGACATCACCTACGTCAATCTGGCCGTGGGCATCACATTGATTAACTTTGTGGAAATCAATTTCGCTATCCTGACGCCGTTCATCCTCAGCGATCTGGGCTTCAACAGCAGCCAGATAGCGTTCGCCATGTCGCTGCTGGGCTTCTTCGATCTGGTCATACGCTTCCTCATCCCGCTCATCACGGCCAAGTTCAGCTGGAGCAATCGCACCTTCTTTGTCGTGGGCATACTGGGCATGTGCCTGGGCCGTGCTCTGCTCTCGCTGACCACCAATTTCTATGCGATGGTGGCGATCTTTCTGTGGCTCGGCCTCAACAAGGCCTTCCGCACCGTCTTCTGGTCCCTGATCATACCCAGCTATGTGCCGCTGAAACGTTTGCCGGCCGCCGCCGGCCTCCAGCTGCTGATGTCGGGCACATTCTCGATGGCATTTGGACCTGTGATCGGTGAGTAGAATCCCATCCCTTCCCTTTCCACATACATACATTCTGTACGTGACTGTGCATATTCTGTTGTGTTTACTAACCGGACTCGTCCGTGCCGCAGGTCTGATACGGGACAATACCAGCTATGCGTTCACCCTCAACTGTCTCAATGCGCTCTGCGTGATGGCCATTGCCCTCTGGTATTTGGAGGATTGCATTCGTGCCCGCCGTCGCAAATCGCCGCCGGTCACCGATGCTGACTTTAAGTGAGCTGCCGCACGACCTGGACGCATGCCGCCCGCCTGCCTGCCTGCCCACCAACACCTACACTTTCATCCATCTACTTTCACCCATCCATCCGCATAACGTCTAGTTTAGCCAAGTTTTTTGATTGTTGTCCTTTGTTTTTTTTTTTTGTATGATTATTTTAAAAATATTGTTGTTTTTTTTTTCCATATGTTTAAAGTGTACATTTTGTATATAATTAAATGTAGCAAATTATTTTTATGAATTATATTAACTGTTAATAATATGCGTAAGCTGTCCCATTCGAAATGCCATTTGATTTTGTTTTGTATTTAGAGTTCTATTTCGATTCGAATGCGTGCGCCAATCAATTTCCAATTGATTTATTCACTTACCGCACATTTGTCGTATTCAGCGGCATTTCAATTGATGCTGCACCCTGCAATGCGCCGGGCATTTGCGACTGCTTGACACATTTGGTGACACTTCGAATCCCAGATAAGCTGCTCCAGCTGGCCTGAAGAGGCTTTAGTAAATATATATTTGAACTGGTTTGCCAGTTATTGGATTACTATTAAAGTTTAAAATATCTTTCAAAATGTTTTCGAGTTAGTTAAAATTTGAAATGTTATTTAAAAACAGTTTTGTAAATGCTTTTGAAAGCACTTTAAAGTCATATAACCTATAAGATCTAATCGATTTACCATATATCGACTATATATATATATAGTGTAAAGCATATTTGCAGTGTTGAAAAACGAGTTAAGAACCGACATAGCTATTAGCTATAAGATCTTTAAGTTTTGTAGAAAGATATAAACAAATTAGAATTAGCCTAGTCATGACTATTTTTTTGGGTACTATGTAAAATTAGTTTCTTGAGCCTATCGTGATTGAGAACTGTGCAGATATCATAAATATTGTTAAGTATGCAAGCATATCTAATCTTCGGCTTGATTTTTTTCTAATTCTTCTTCTAATTTTTTTTTTGGTTTTTTTTTTTTTGCCAGAAGCGGCAAGTCATGCCGGCAGCTCATCATCGAGCGATGTGTCATGCAATTGCCGGTAATTGGATAGCGTGCCGGGGCAGTGCGGCAAGTATCTGGCAATGTTGTGAAATAGCTATATATATATATACATATATATATATATATATGTGTGTGTGTAGGGTGTGAGCCCCAGTGGAACCGAGCAAACTGCCCTTTGGCTGCACAAATTTGACTGATTAATGAAAAGCTTTGCTTTGCTTTGCCCAGCTGGGTCGCTGATCTCTGAAAGGCGACTTGGCTTTGGATCATAAACCGGTTGCCATTTGCCATTTGCCGGTTGCCAGTTGCCAGTTGCCGGTTGCCGGTTGTCAGTTGCTGCCTGAACTCGGTCAATAAACTAACCGCAAAAATGTGCATCCCGACGGCTAAGAGCTGGCAGTTAAATTAAGGAACATTGAAATGCAAACTGAGGATCGCATATTTTGAGCTGGGCCTAGTAGCTAGGCAGCCAACAAACTCAAGATCGTGGCAGGTGTTAACAAAAGTGCCATATATTAAGGCCCAAGTGGATCGTAGTTAGATATATATATATATACATATACTTATATATGTATGCATTTGCACAAGTCACGTCCATTGATCAATGCCTTTTCGACAATCAATTCTTTTATATCAACACCTCATAAATTGGCCAATAACTGAAGTTGTTTTTATCGAATCATGACAGACCACTAAAACTCACGATATGATAATCAAACCAGGCAAACTGTGAGTCAAGTGCGCAGTGCAAAGTGGAAAGTCAAAATTTAGGTGCTCCCCCAGACACACACCCAAATTCAAATCCAAATCCAAATCTAATTAAATGAGAGCTCCCGAAAAAAAAAAAGAGTGAATAAAGAAAAACCTTGTGCTGCTCGGGTTGGCTAAATATTTGCAGAAAAATGTCTAGGTAGTATATTTTTAAGGCCTATATCTTTATGGCTGGCTTAGCAGTCGTCAGAATCTCATTTTATGGGTTGGTTTTAAATAGTGTGCAAATATTGTTTGGGCTAATAAAAATACTTCATATATGAAAATTCCGTATGTTGATGTGCATTTCAACTTGGATTGAAATCGTTTGCGGTTATCAAATGTACATATACATACATATATATACATATATACTACATATATAATAAATATATGATTGTGAAGTTTCTATAAAGAGAAATAACCTATGAATGACCTATCAGGAAAGTAAAAAAACGATTTTAACTACAACAACTAAATGCTTAAGTTTGTAAAAGCGCCTACTCTTACAATTCGCAACGAGTTCAAGCTCCGAACGCCTGACAAGACGTGCCGAAGGCAAAGTCTGTTATTGATAGAAATTGAAGGTTTTTTGTAATAGTACATAGTTCTGGCATATGCTGATATTTGTATAAAACTAGGTATTATACTTTTACTAACACATTTAACTAGTTTAGTAATTTGTATTTTTGAGTAGCAATTATACAACTTCCTTGTGAAAAATGATAAGGAATTCAAACACTTTTAGAGATAACCAAAATATATATATATATATATACATATATAAGAGTGTCTAAATTATGTTTGGGCCCTGATTGCTTAGAATGCGTAGAAATTTATGTAATCTGTTGATGTTAAATGTTTTCCAAACTAATCAAATGCAAAAGCAAAAAGATTTAAATTGAGAATCTAAAATTAGCTAGCAAAGATTGAAGATGGAAAGTTATATTATGGCGAAAGTGTCAAAAAAGGAATTATTATAATTATTTTAAATATATATAATTGTTATAATGTTATAATTTACAAAATGTATTATAATATCAAAATAGGAAAATGATACCATAATAATTATGATAATGAAAATGATCAATAAAATATAGTTTTATATATCATGCTTATTATAATGGATATTTTTACACGTAGTCCGCCATCTACCAGTGGAATTATACAAATTCTCTAACTGCATATTTTTGAGATCCGCCCTCGATCTGCAAACAAACAGAGCAACTTATTGTTTGTTGAGTAAAACGTGCAGTGACAAGCGCGAATCAGTTTCGTATTGTTTAGTGTGTGCTTTTTTTTCTTTTCGTATTTTTTTTTACTTATTATCTAATATTATGAATTCTCATGGTGAATTATAATATATTAGTGTTAGTCGTCAGTCACATATGCACAGACACACACAGTTTTATTTTAATCGCTCACTATTTCCGTATATATACTATGTGCAGATCTGTAGACACACACAGCCACATTCACAAGCACATATACATATATATAATTATCTATTTTGTTCTTTTTTGCCTGTGTATTGTAATTGACTTTATGAGGCGTCACAAAGCACCTGCTTAGATGGTAGATGGCGCTAGCGAGTGAATGAGCATGAGAATTGGAAAGGGAGAGCGAAAGGGAGAGCGAAAGAGCGAGCTATGACGATGCGACGTCATCAATCAAGCCATGCTCACAGCCAGTCGAAAATGTTTAATGGGAGATTGAGTAGAACGGAAAGCAGAGATTTTTAGAATACTACAGACGCTATAATATACATATGTATAAGCATATGCGTATTCGTTATAGGCTTAAATTTGCGTCACTTGTAAATTATTATATTAGCTAGCTATGAATAAATCAACAATTGATTAGAGCGCTAGGAATTTTTAAAAGTAATAAATAAGTTAAGCCCCAACATACACACACATACATTGGACATGCGTATATACATACGTACATACATATGACATATGTTCTTATGCATGTTTGTACATGTAATTTCGGCATAGATAAAATAAAAGAATTGCTAGTTATTCTTTAAAAGTTAATTATCCATCAATCTACACGCCTATCCGCCTATCTACCTGATTTTTATCTCTTTTTTTAAATTGTGTGTGGCCGTCGCCGGCAGCAGCTGGTCAAAGTTCTAATGCTAAAGATTTCGACAGCCGGTCAGCATTTAAATCAAAGTGCCGCTCGTCTCAGCTCCTCTCTCGGTCCCATCGATCGGCACACTAGCATTGATAATCACATCGTCAGAGTGACAATGTTAGCTGGCGCTGCTGCTGCGCTGCTTTAGATGTGCGAATCGCTGCAGCATAAGAGAATAGTGGTGGGACATGGCGTGAGGGGGGAAAGTGGTCAAGTGCATGGTCTTTGCTGTATGCTAAGCCCGGTTTGTCTGTCGCCAGCCCACGCATTTGGTAAACAGTTAACGCTTAGCCGTCGCGCCAATTGCTCTGCTCTCTCTTCTCTGCTCTGCTCTGCTGAATTAAATGTGTGTGTGTGCGCCTAGCGATAGCTAACGAGCATGTTAAACTCGAACTATTTCTACCCTGTACCAATATACATATGTTCATACTCATACAAAAAAATATTTATGAATAATATAAATAAACTTAATAACTTTTTAAATAAAAATAATGAATATACGAAGAAAAAAGTTAACTTAAGTTACCTTTCCTGAGATATAATCTGTGAAATCAAAATTGAATTTTATATAGCAACTTTATTGTATTGTAAAAATCATAAAATTCAGCCGTTTTTCCAACCATTTAATATACGATACGTATATCAAGGAATAACTTATTTTTAATATAATACGAGTAGCAAAAATCAATTAATTGAATTAATCTTTTGAGGCTTAATTTCCATGATATCTACACTATTTTGATCAGTGTCTTCCACTCAGTGACATGTGCCTTAGCAAAACTGAGCATACCCACCTAATAGCAGCATATCGAAATGTAGGGTATATAGCTATAAAGCAGGCAGCAGTATTTGCTGTCAGGCAAGTCGAGTGCTGGACGCGTAGCAGTTAACAACGGCGACACGGCCGACTGAGCCAAAGCAGCGTGTGTGTTTACATTCAATTACATTTGTATTAACATTAACGCTAACGTTAACATTAACAATAACATCTACCTTTACATTTGTATTAATCAAGCCCCGTTTTCACTGTAACTATCAGAACCGTAATTGTGTTTGTGCGTTGTTCTGTGCAAAACTCGAACCGTGAATTTGAAAAACAACAATTAGCCAATTTTTATTTTTTTTTTGCTGTGCATATATGTGTGTGTGTAGATGTGTTTATCAGTCCACGATTTTATTTATATAAAACAAACACAAATACAAGTGAAAAACTTGCGCTAAATTTATAGCATACGAGTCAAAGAGAAGCAAAAGCAAAAGTTCGCATAAAAACGAACTAACTGACGCGTAAGTTAACTAACAGCAACTGCAACAAGTGTTGAAATAAAGTTAAAACCAAACAACAACAAAAATACAGTTAGTCGGGCTGGGGCATGCGCCCTTTAGCTGGCAGCCCCAACGGGGGTTCCCGAAAGCCCTGACCAAATTGAGTTTGTCAAAAGCAGCGCAAAAACAGAGTGTCAAATCGAATTACCAGGGCTTTTTCCACATTTCTTTTTTTTGTGTTTTTTTGCGTTTTTGTTTTTTGCATTTTAAAAATATTTTTGCCTTGGGGCCATATGGAGCACCCTGTAGAAAGTTTTTTTCCCCCCCAAATAGTCGTAGCCATTAGCGAGACGAACAATTTGCTGCATGTTGCAAGTCATTCTGGAAACCAGTTGTCTCAGGTTACAAGCCAACGATTAGCAGTAGAGGAAATAGAAGTCTGGGGAGCATACAAATCGTATTACTCAAGCAGTCAAATTATTTAACTGGCACATATTCCACTTAGTTTCGCAGCCTGCAATTATCGACTGTAATTGAATTAATTTTTTATCAGCCAGCAATTTTACTGGTCCTTGGGCAAATCGTCATTACCTCAAACGCACAACTGTTATTTGTCTCAGCCAAACTAAGCCATAAAACATATGTTATCATGTCTTAAGATTGGGTTAGGGTTTTTTGTCGGGCCACAAGATCAGCTTCGCCTTGGGGCCTCTTGGTGGGTGGGAATGGCAAAGGAAGAGAAGAAGAGAAGAGAATGGGAAAAGAAGAGAGTCTGATTCTTCCGTCTGGATATATCTTGAGTTTCTGGCTTATATATATATATATCATATATGTCCTTAATCCTAAGACACTAGATAGTTTGGGAAACCTATATAGTGTATGGGATGGGAAAAGAAGAGTGTCTGATCTGAATATAGAATATATCTTGTCTTATATTTATCATATATATCTTTAATGGTAAGAAACAACCCGATGCTAAAGAGATTATAAATGTTTTGGGTATCTACTCAAACGGAAAGTTATCATTTAACTATCTTAATAGCAGCTTAAAATCCTGATTCCCCATGGCTATGAATATACTTAGTAATATTTTCTATGCCATCAATATACATACATCTATATTTTTGCAGTATATTTACCTATTTTTTATTGAATAATAACAATTAATCAGTTTGTTATCTGCATGAGAACTTTGCTGGGACCGACAGAAGTTTAGTAAAGTATGCTAACTTTACTATTATATAACTGAATTGATATAGATTTCCCTCAGTGTAGATACTTATTTATTTCGCCGGCAGGCGGATGTGAATGCAGATTATCAGCCGAACCCTGATATACACATACTTAGTACTTAAATTTCGAACGGTGCGAATGGAATATGGAATATCATGAGTGAGTGAGGCCCCAGTTATCGCTCGGACTGGAATCCCAATCGATAAGTCCTTGGCTTAAATATGTGCAAACGCGATAAATTTAGATCGTTGCAGTCAAATAGATTGCTGTTGGATTGTTGAAACTTCTCCGGTTTATCTGTCAGTTGGGGTCCGCTCGTCATGTTTGACAGCGCACATCCAAGTGGAATTAGCATCGGGCGATGGGGCTGGGCTGCGTTTGGGTTAGCTCCTCCTCAAGTGGCTTTGGCTGCAGCTCGGATTGAATTTCAGTCGCATTCCCTTCACAGAAACACTTAGGGCACACACTTTAGTCGAGTCAAATTGAAGTACGTGAGTTTATTTGTTGCTTCTTGGCCGCAACACGACAACCAAATTCAAAACTCTGCCCACCAAAATGACTTGAAATGCGCATTAAATGCGTAAACAAGCGACACGCCGCTCGCATTGGGCCCAACAGCGAAACCTAACCAAAAAAAAGAAAAAAACCGAAAAACCGAAAAACCGAAAAACCAAAACCCAAAACCTAATTCCCAACACCAGGTCGGTGCGGAACGGGACAAAAGGGGCGCGACACATGTGAGAATGCGCCGGGTATTGGGATTATTCTGCGGCCACCAGGCCAGCCCGGGCCCAGGCCCGGTCCCAGGCCTGGCAACCTTTGCGCGCGGCTGTACTCAGCCGCAACTGCAACTGCAACTGCAACTGCACAAATCGAACACGCAAGGCAATAACAATAATCGAAACGCAGCTAAATCTAAATATAGCTCTAAATACCAACAACAACAACAACTCAAATAGCGCCTAGAACACGTCTGCCATAATCAATGACACGAAATGTTGAATGCGCCTTGCGGTGACATCTTAGCTGGTGGGCGGCACACCTAATCCACATCATAGTCCACAAGCCCCAATAGCCAGACATGCGGACGCGAATTCGTAATGGCACATCTCAGGAACAGACACCGAAAAAGGCTGTCAAAAGAAATTATTTATCGCTAATTGCAGCTAATTTGACATGAGGATAGATTTCTAAACGGGGCTGCAAGCTCAAGTGGTTCGGTTCACGGCTCGAACTGGTTCGAACTGCCTTTTGAACCAGATTTTGCACATGCATGAGCTCGGGTTTTGGTTGAAGTCTCTGCTTTTCTTATATTTTGATCATTTTATGTGAAACTATTCCACTTTGTTTTTGTTTTTCAATAGTATTCATTTTAACTTTTTGCCAAATAGATGATTCGGATGGAGGGGGCAACTAGAACCGGTTCGGTTCGGTTCTAAAACTGGTTCGCAGTCATGGATGGGAAAATGCTTATCACAATATCAATATTTATAGTAAATTATTCTCAAAATAAGAGGTCTACAGGGATAGGAAAAGACTCAAATATGGCAACGAATGCTTGCGATTGTGATATTTAAGTTGTCATAAGGATAAAAACTTGACGAATTTTTCAAAAATAGACGGTAGAAGAGATTACTTGGAGAAGCCTTGGTTAAGATTGTGTTAAAAAGTGAGCTCAACCGATCGCAGTTAGAGTATGGAAATTGCACAAGCCGCGATTGTCACAGAGCACAGTTCGAATCATTTAGTTTTCGATTAATATTCTATTCTAAAAGCGTTACTTCTGTTGCATTTGTTTAGCACTTTACTGTTAGATGAGCACTAGATAAGTGTTCTGTCGTTGTATTTGTTCATTTGCTAAATAGTTGATTTTGTTTTTGTTTTTGTTTCTTACACAATTTGTTGGCACCTCGACTGATCTATTGATTGCACTCATTTCGTTCTCTTTGAACCGCTGAGTAGGTAGCTAGCTATATGTATGTGATTGTTGGGTAATTCCCAGGTCTCCGCCGAAAACCCATTAGAGTGCCATCCATAACGATCCGTAACTGTGCTTGTGCTCGAACGCGTATCGATGGGCTTTAATCAACACTCATTGACACAATTTAATTGTGTTGCATTCAAAGTGAACGAAGCTCAACGATGAGCGGAATTGTCCCGCCCATTGACTTGACTCGTACACTGAGCGAAAATCGTTCGAATAAAATTAGAATTAACAATTAACTGATCGACAAAGTTAGCATAGATTTTCGATCAATTTTTCCATAGATTTCAGTCTTCAGATCGTTCTGCACACACATTTTCTGTCAGTGTACGCATATGTATTGGAACGTATGCGAGTATAATTGAAAAATTGCGTCGTTCGATTAATCTCAATTAAATTGCGAACAAGCTGCCAATTGGCTAGCGAAAAAGGGAACACGAAACACGAAGCCTCAACTTCCGCTTTAAGCGCCAGACACAAGATACATACACACGCACGCACGCACGCACACACGCACACAGATAGCATATGAATGTATCTTCAAGATGCGTTCCTATACATCATTAGCTACACCTGTGGCTACACCTTGTTGTCGCGTTCGACCTGTACTGTGTTCGCTTAAGTATACAAATATGTGAACTTGAGGAACAAGTGTTTTGTTGTTTGTCTTCTGGCTCCGCGCCTGTTACTGATAACAGCAACACAATGCAGCGCGAAAGGGTCAGAGTGAGTGAGAGAGAGGGAGAGGAAGAGAGTGAGAGGGAGGGCTAGCTACAACGAGCTAATCAATAGCGCCGCCATCCGCGATGCCAATATCGATGTCGATGTCGATGTCGATGTCGTTGTCTATGTCTATGTCTATGTTTTATCTAGGAATGAGTCAACAGCGGAGACCAATTACCTTCTGGACAGAGAGCACGATAAGCCTCATCGGGCATTCGGTAGTACGGTATGGCGGTATCTTGGGCGCTTCGGGTTTTGATTTCAATTTTCTCTTCACCTTTTGGTGCTACTTATCAAACATGTTATAAAACATGGGATTTTTGTTTTTCATACTTATTTGCCAATATTGAAGAGCTTGCACTTTATATTTTTGTACATATGTTTGTAGATATTCAGCTTGATGAATATGCTGAATCATTTTGACTTAAGCGTAGAAGCTTGATTAATTGCAGTTATAAAAGTCACGCAACTTATTCAATGCCGACTCATCTTTATATTCAAATATATATATTACTGAATAAACAAATACGAATAGAGTGAGAATTTGAACCGCCGTTTTCCCATTTGTGTATTATAAAAGGAACCCATAAAATAAACTGAAACTTCTTCAGCTACTGAGGTAGCTCCACAAACAGCATGTTGACACAAATTACCTAATAAAGGTATCGTGAAATCAATTAATATATTAATATAAATGCTTTTGTTTAGCAATTGTTAGGCCTTAATGTGTTCCATTCATAATAATCGCATGGGGAATCACAGAGACGAAGACTATTCAGAGCTTGTTCCCATTGAGTACCCGTTCGAACATGTTGCCGCTGTTTGCATAACTTGTGAGGTTCATGAATGAACGACTGCCACGCCCTGTTCGGCGTTCGAGCCGTAGGCCGTCGCTCTCCCCGGACTCCTCCGCGGGAAGAGTACATCAATATTACGCTCAATCATCGCAGTGACGCGCGTGCGTGCGTGTGTGTGTGTGTGTGTGTGCGAGCTAATCACGATCAGATGTACGGCGAATGAGAGGCATTGCTTGTGCCGATGACGACGCCTTTGCGTTTGTCATGTTAATAGCATGTACTTATTATTGTCCACGCTGCATGACTTGCGCAAAGCCGAAGCCGTGGAACGATCGCAACGATCGCGACGACAAATCACAGCAAGCTGGAAACCGGTAACCACATTGATGACGCTTCTCAAGAGTGCTCGCTCTCTCGGCCCGGCCCGGCCCGGCCCGGTCTAGTCCGAGTATTTTGGCTCGCTGGATGGGCCAAGCGAAAGTTTGCGCCAGCCACTGATCGATGGTGTTGCGTGTGAGGCCGTTAAGTGCTGCTCCCCTTTTCCTGGACTTGATCTTGGTCATGGTCTTGATCGCTGTCTGGCCGCGCCCCCAGCCGCCCTCTTCTTTAACAGGCGCTTTCATTCACTCCGCCTCTGACACTGACACCGACACTGACACCGACACTGAGGCTGAGACTGAGACTGAGACTGTCTGTGTCGCAGATCTCTGACAGCGGGCGTCAATTTATGGCACGCTTCGATGGAGTTCAATGGCAAACAAGACGGATGCCACGACTCACTATCTGCAACTGCAATAAAGACATCCAACTGCCAACTGCCAAGTGCCAAGTGCCAAGTGCCTGCATCCACCAGCTGCACCAGTTGCTCGTCTCCGAATTATCGCTGCATAAATAGATGCCATGCGATGAGGGCGACATAAAATGCCAAACAAACTGCATATTCCCGACTAGCCAGCTCCCTATCCACACATCCACATTCACATTCACATTGCAGACTCTTCATTATTTTTACAACCGAACTATTTTTACACCCTGTCCCTGTGGGTCTTATGGCTTTGTCAACAAGTACGCAACGCATGGCTGACACCGTTATATATACATATATATGTACATATATATAGTATATTCCCGATCAGCAGCGAGCTGATATTGACAAGTCATGAGAGATTGCTTATCAATCGAACAACTATATCATATAGCTGGCAACTTCTCTGAACAACTTGAACTGTAAACGTCTTTATATTTAGTTAAATCTGCAAAATCCCATCAAATCGAACTACTTTATTATACGGCTTCTATTGTGGGTCGCTTACAGAAGGGTATTTCAAGTTCGAGGTGCGGCAGACTGACGTTCTATCTTGATTTTGTTTTTATAGTTTTTTAGTTTTTATGAAGGACCCAATGCCGGCGACAGTCTGCCTGTGCCCCTGTGCCCCTGCCCCCGGCAGTTCCTGTTGGGGGGACTGGCCTGTGCCTGGAATTCTGGTTCGGTTTACGACTGGGTTTGCCTCCCATCTGGCTAGATCGTCGGCCATTAAGTCAGCTTCTACAGGCATTGCATTGATCTCTCTGAACCTGGCACACCCGCTAAGTGATTTCCTGGCGGAGGCGGAGGAGGAGCTGCGATTGGTACTTCTTCTGGCGCGGCCAAAGCAACTGTCGTGTTTTGCATATAAAATCGCTAGAAAGATCGGCGCGTTTTTAGTCACGTCGCGCCCTTATGACAAAATCAACAATAGTTGTACATATATAGAAAGCACATCAAAGATGGGCCCGCCCCCAAAAACAACGTGTGTAGAGGGCGGGCCGTCGGGCCCGTGTCTGCCGACATCGTTGTCGTGGCGGCAATGCCAATTAGCAATTAGAGCATTATCTAGCATTAGGCAATAATAATAATAGTAATAATTGCGATGAGGTGCGCCGCGCCAGAAGGAGTCGCACTCTAATAGTCGATACTCGATATGCCGCAATTATCCGCCCTGGAAAATGGCGACATATTTGAATAGCTAATTGCCCGACTCCAAGAGAAATGTACGTGGTCTTCCCGTGGCCCCGACCACAAACAATTGAAATCAGCGCTAACTTTGCTATGGCTCAGATTTAATCGCTTTTCGAGAATGTCTTTGATTTTCTGCCAACAATTAGCATCGGTTTGTACAGCTCATAAACTCTTTGGGTAACCGGAATCTGTTATCGGAATATGGTTTTTCCCTCTTTTTTCACTTTTGTTTCCAAGGACTAGGTCAATGTCGCCCAGCACAGCACAGCACAGTTTGGGTTATCTTGCGGTTATCTTATCGGGTCGAAGATTCAGCTAATAATAACATATCGGATTGGTAAAAGACAGAAAGAGAGAGATGGAGAAAAAGAGAGAAATGTGATGAAGAGAACGAACTTTGTTCCCAATATTTATCCTTGTTACTTTTGAACCCTCCCGAAAGGCATGCTGATTAAAGTTCTTCTTTCTTTATGGGGTTTGGTTTTAATGTTGTCGAATTAACGCATTATATAGGGAATATCTTGGGGAAACCTAAAACAAAGTTGAACTTGTATACTCACTATATCAAATGGAATCTAGTGCAGAACGAGGATTTGTCGAAGACAAACGCCGTAGTTCAAAAAGTTCGGCTAGGTTATGCCATACTTATAAAGATAATAGATATAGTAGAACCCCAATGAAATGCTCTGTCAAAAGCTGAACAAACTATTTATATACAATATACAATATTATTATATTTTTATGATATTTTTTTCTTTTGCTTTCATGGACTCTCTCCTTGGCCATATCAGCAATTAACTTGGGCTATTGAAAACAGAAAGTAAGGCATTTTGTGCCCATCTTCAACCGGGATTATGGACAAATCGACGCTGACGCAGAAGAATTACGCTAGTGTCTACAATGAGACGACGAAGCCAAAGAAACCGAAGCGCCGCGACAAAAGCGATTTGGGACCCGATTTTGTGGCGCCCGATGGCGGCTGGGGCTGGGTCATCTGCCTGGCAGCGGGCCTGAACAATGTGAGTGGGCGCATTAATGACGCATCCAAGTTGAGCGCACACACTAATCCTTTGGCAATCCGCAGTTCTTTATGTTTCCGGCGCTGCAGCAGTACGGACTGATCTACAGGGGGCGCATGTCTACCCTGGGATTCGATGCGAAGGAAACGACGATCATTGTCAACGTGGTGATGACCCTGTCCTCGATAGTGGGTAAGTGCGCGACGGGGGAGTAGCTATTAGTGTCGCGTCTTGTTGTTGTTCTCAACAATTCTATTCTATTGTATTTGGCAGGCATCTTCAATGGGGCCATGTTCCGGCGTTTCACCTTCCGGCAAGTGGCGTTGGCGGGCACAGCTCTGGGCTTTCTGGGCATCTTCGGATCGGCCTTCTGCACCACCGTCTGGCAGTATATTGTGTGCCTCTCGCTGATTTATGGTGTGGGCCTGGGCCTGGCCATGGCAGCCGTGTCGCTGGCCGTGAACACATACTTCAAGCAGAGCCGGCGACGCGCCACTGGCTTCTCGTGGACCATTACCGGCCTTGGGCCGATCATCTTTCCCTATGTGTCCACCTTTCTGCTGGACTACTATGGCGCCCAGGGCACCATTCTGATCTATGCCGGCATCGCGCTGAATGCGATGCTCTGCGCCCTCACGCTGCAGCCGGTGATGCGACATGTGCGCAAGCCGGAGAAGCCAGACGCCGATGTCGATGCCGTCGATGCCGTCGACGAAAAGGATCACCCCGAGCTGACCGAGGCCAATGGCAATTTGCTGGTGCCGAACAGCGATCAGTGGTGCGATTACGAGTGCAAGTACTGCCAGTACCAGAGGCGCACCAAGCGCGGCATCTTCTCCTCGCAGTACCTCTTCAATGACGACGATCCCGAGCATCCCGGCTACGAGATCACAGATCCGGGCACACCCATGCTCGCCCGGGCGAACGATGGCTGGTTCGGCTCCAGGCTGTCGCTCGCCTCCGAGCGCCGCCAGGTGCTGTTGCGCCAGGCCTCCGTCACGGTGACAGCGGCTGCCGCAACCAAGGCCAGCCGCGAGAATCTCGACAAGCTGGAGGAGGGCAGCGAGTTGGATCCGCAGCAGCAGCCAGAATCGGGCGCCGGTCTCTACAAGCCGAACTACTTTAATCGCGAACGTGAGGATCTGGAACGCTATGCGAGCAAGACGAGCGTCTACTCCAGGCCGGGCGGGGAGGAGCTGCTGCGCTGCACTTGCGCCGAGGACAAGGTGCTGCTCCAAAAGTCCGCCGAGGCACTGCGTCTACAGACGCTGCAGGCCCTGCAGGCCGCCGAGGCTGACGAGGAGGAGGCCAAGCGCAAGATGACTTTCCGGCAAAAGGTTAGCAAATTCTTCGATCTGGATCTGCTGCGCAACTTCACGTTCGTCAATCTGGTCATCGGCATGAGCATCATGATGTTCGGCGAGATGAACTTCTCGGTGCTGACGCCCTTCATCCTGAACAGCTATGGCTACACCGACAAGCAGAGCTCAATGGTAATGTCGCTGCTGGCCTGCATGGACATCTCGGTGCGCTTCCTGGCGCCGCTCTGCCTGGAGAAGGTCAAGCTGGACAATCGGGTGCTCTTCGCGTTTGGCATTGTCTGCATTGCTGTCGGTCGCGTCATTGTCACAATGACCTCCTCCTACGATGTGGTCGTGGCCGTCTTTCTGCTAATTGGCTTCGGCAAGGGCTTTCGCACCATATTCTCGCCCCTGATCATACCCAGCTATGTGCCGCTGCGTCGCCTGCCCGCCGCCTCTGGCCTGCAGCTGATCTTCAATACCATCTTCTCCTTCGCCATGGGCCCCCTCCTGGGTGAGTATTACTTACAGCACACTCTCTCCGCACTCTGCTAAACTTTCATTCCCCTCGCTCATGTCGTCGTGCAGGCGTCGTCACGGAGGCCTACGGCTACAGCGCCACCATCCACACGATCAACATACTCACGGCTATGGCACTGCTCATGTGGATCTCAGAGTCGGCGATTCGACGTGTTCTCGGCAAGCCGTACAGTGCACCGGAACAATAGTGGGCGGCACAAGCGTCCTGACAGCTGAGGGAACTGAGCTACTTATGCGGGCCACCACTGTAGAATTGCAAGTGAGCCACTTATGCGGGCCAACACTGTAGAATTGGATGTGTGCTACTTATGCGGGCCACCACTGTAGAATTGGATGCAGCATCGATCTGCAATACCTTGTGCAAAGTATTACCTTAAGCAATTTTCACTACCTTAAGCTTCTCCCGTAAGCGCTTAATTTAAGAATTTTAACTCGTGCTATCGACGATTGGGCATGATTACTTTTTTTGCCATAAGTACTTTTAGGTTATAATGTTGTTTTTTATCAAATGTGTTTTTTTTTTTTTCTACTACGGTACTGTACTTTTTGGAACATTGAGAATTTCACTTGGTCACATTCGGTGATTCGGATTGTGAACTGAACTGAATTAACATTTATTTGATGTTCAACGAGCCAAATTCAACCAAATTTTATTTGATTTAATATTGTTTATAATGATAATAAACATATTTAATATATATATAAGTATGATATTTTTAATGTCCAGCACAAGAAGCAGGCAGAAGTGTATAGGAGATATGATAAACATTTTTTTTCAAGTAGAAATGTAGAAATATATCTTAATCGAACTCACAAATTGCACAAATATGTTGCTTATCGCTGCACTTAATTAGAAAGCAAAACTAGCTATAAATTTAATCCCAATAACGATTTTTGAAAGGGCAGAAAACTTCAACTGAAACTCTTCTCGAATGCCCGATAAACATTGAGAATATAATACATATAACTTGTAGTGAAATGCTCGTAATAGAAATTTTTCGCTTTCGATTGTTTTTTTTATTGATATCTCGAGTATGCAAAGTGTGATTATCAAGTGTAATACCTTTTTGGACTCGTATCGATCACATTTATCGATTGGCATTCAAAAATTTAAAGGGGTAACATCATAATTGTTTTTGTGATTTCTTGATATTTAAGGTAAATAAAGTCAGATTATGGAGCGATGAACGATATATGTTTTTAGACTGTTAAGGATCACTGGCATCACAAAAATCTTATTGTAAATTTTGTCAAAAATAGCAAAGACAGATCTAGTTATAATTTAGTATTGGTATATTATCATAATTTGAAATATAATAAACAAGTTTAACTTTAACCTGCAAGGATCTCTTTCAAATGTTAGGAATAGGATGGGTGAAGTTCTCTTTGTTAATTGGATAACAAATATATTTTTTATATACAGTTGACAATAAGTTTCGAAATTACATACTGTCAAATAGTTAGCGAGCATGCCTCGCAACGAGCACCTGCTAACAGAAGAACCCTAATACGAACAGCGAGTGCTGCTGTCAATTAACAGAGCCCTAACAGCACTGTTGAGCAGAACTGCATATACGCTTGTGGGGCTCTCAATTCTTTTCGCGTTTCGCTGATTCGCCGCCAGCATCGATGTCGAGCGGTCATCGCTTTTCAGTTTGTTTGAGCAGCTAAAAGCGTCGAGACCGAGACTGAGACCGAGACCGGGACCGAGAAACGGTAACCGAGAACCGAGAACCGAGCCGCGAGCCGTTGCCCATTTGCCGTTAGAAAGGGTCACTTATTAGCAACGTGCCAATTGGACAATTCCAATTGGGATTCGAACATCTTAGTCTCGCTAACGGATCGCGCTCGCGACCGCCAATGACAAGTGAGCTAAAAACGCGCCGACCAGCCGCATCCCAATCCCAATCCCAAACCCAAACCCAAGTGCGTGGCGACTTTGAACTTGATGAGGTGCCAAAGTCAAAGCCACTAAATCATGTAAACTGTAATAGTGGTAGTGCGCGTGTGTGTGTGTGTGTGTGTAAAAATAAACTGCAAAGGCAAGGGAAAAAGCAAAGGCAACTTTTTAAATAGGCGCATCAGCTGCCAAATTTCGCATTTGCCAAGCAGAATGTGGTCAACCAATTTAAGATTCATACATTATCAAACACACACACACACCCACACACATACACACACATGCATACACGTGCATATATCTGACTTATTGTGATTACATGACATGGTTAAATAGCGTCTGTAACAATTTCTTATCACGAATGCTCATGAGTTGAGCGCCAAGCGATAATCACACCTGGCATTATCGATGGGCGGCATTTTCTCGCTATACAATATGCGTATCTATATAGCAGGCGCTTGTCAATAAAATGGGCGTGGCAGGCCTTAATGGGCAAACAGTTGTCATGCAGCTGGCAGCATTGGGGATCGTGATTGAAGATAGATTTGTGGATTTGTGCCAAAAGGACCAACGACTAGCTAACACAATTTTCAAGCCCTAACGCAATCTTATCAATTATCAATCTTATCAGTTGGTGATCAATAGTTTTTACACACACACAAACACACACACACACACACACAAGGAAACGTCGTTATCTCCATCTGTATCTATTTGTGCGGCCAGTCAAGTGTGGCCCCTGAGTTATTTATATGGCGCATATTTACTGTAATCGTTGTATTTACTTTTATGGAGCGCACCTACGTATGTACATGGCCCACAGATAAAGATTGGATCAATAAATGGCTGTTTAGCTATTGATTTTAAAATACAATTAAAGTACATACATATATAGGGCTTAACGGGAAAATGCCTGATTAAAAGCCCATTCAATATATAACTAAGCAATTGGTTCGAACCAGCTAACTGGTTCGATTGGTGAATAATTAACCCATGTTTTGGATTAGCTCAAATCATGCTTTTACAATTTTTTCGGTTCGGGTTGCGGTTCGACTTGGTTAAAGATTTCATGTTAAAGAATTGAAAGCGAACCGGTTCGAACCACAATTGTCTATAGCCGCATTCCTGTTGCAAATAAAACGAACGCTTTGATCGATTCACAGACCTGAACCATGGTCATTGTTTCGTTGATCAGCAACAGCTGATAGTTGGCAGCCTAACGATTTCGTATTGTCCTCCCTGCTTGTCTTCCACATAATATTTATATATACATATATATATATACTATAAGGTATATGTGTGTGTGTGTGTGTGTGCACTGTTGAAATGATTCACACGCGAAAATCGACAAACAATTTGCGCGCTAAGTTTATGGATCGGAGTCTGAGTCTGTCGTATAGTCATATGACGATGCTGATAAGCTCTCCAAAGATTTCAGCTACGTTTACCAAAAAATGCCCCAGCCATGAACCCGGCTCTCGCAGCAGAGCATCAACAGCAGCAACAGCAACAGCAGCTTCTACCTTTGCTGGCGTGCCCAGCGCCTCGTGTTCCTCCTCGTGTTCCTCCTCGTGCTCCTCCTCGTGCGATGCAGCTGGCTATTGCGATGTGTGCGTGTCCGTGTCTCGTTGGCTAGTTAATTGTGACAAGTGATCGTTAAAGCTCTATTGCAGCCAAGTACCCGTTATTGGCAATGGGTCTTAAATCATTTACAGGCTGACATCGGCACGGCTTGGAATATTGCGATCATAATTTCCATTTGGCGTCGGTTAACAAATTCGATTGCCCCAATTGACGTTCGAAAGAAAACTTGTCGATCTTTGCAGGGTCGGCGCAGTCGTTGATATGGTGCCAGAGGAAAAGAAGGTTTATGGGGATACGACACAGCCGCTGGCGAGGCGTCGCCAGGGCTACTATAACCGCAAGGACAAGAGCGATCTGGGCGAGCATTTTGTGGCGCCCGATGGCGGCTGGGCGTGGCTGGTGTGCGTAGCCGCCGGCGTATCGAATGTAGGTAAAGCCAAGCAATTAATCCCGAGCAATTGATATGCAAAATTCCCTTCCAGCTGTCATTGTATCCGTGCCTGCAGCAGTTCGGCTTCATGTTTCGCGAGCGTCTCATCGATCTGGGCATGTCCAGCTCACAGGTGACAGCCATAATCAATACGAATCCAGCGGTATCCGCCTGCACGGGCCTACTAAATGGCCCCATGTTCCGGCGGTTCACATTTCGCCAGGTGGCCATGGCGGGCGCCCTGCTCTGCTTCAGCGGCATTGCCCTGACCGCCTTCTGCGAGACCTTCGTCGGCTACATATTCGCCTATGCATTGCTCTATGGTAAGCGGATGGCCCAATGCATAGCTAACTCGTCACACTAATTGCCTAATTGCCTAATCTCGCTTGGCAGGCTTTGGCATGGGCATCAGCGTGTCGGCCTCCTCGCTGGCCATCAACACATACTTTCAGCAGAAGCGACGACGCGCCGCTGGCTTCTCGTGGACCATCACCGGCCTGGGGCCGATCTTTCTGCCGTATCTGGTCACGTTCCTGCTGGGCGTCTACGATGTGCAGGGCACGGTGCTGCTCTTTGCGGCCATCTCGCTGCACGCCTTTGTCAGTGCGCTCATCTATCAGCCGGTGCGGTATCACCTGGCGCCGGGCAGCCCGGCCAGAGCAGCGGCGGAAGCGTCTCTCATGCAGCCGGAGCAGCAGCCGGAGATACTGTGCGCCCATTGTGCGCTGCAGCGCAAGCGAGAGCCGGGCGGCATCTTCTCCAGCCAGTACCTGTACCAGGATGACGATGCTCAGAGGCCGGGCTACGAGATCATTGAGCCGGGCACGCCCATGTTGTCGCGTGCCAATGATGGCTGGTATGGCTCCAAGTTGTCGCTGAGCTCTGGACGGATGCGCTTTCGCACAGTGTCCAGCTCCAAGGATCTGGAGCACATGCAGCGCCTGCATCGGCCCATCAATGAGGAGCATCAGCAGCAGGAAGAGGACTTCCTGCGACCCAATAACTTTAGGCGGGAGCGCGAAGAGTCCATCCTGGACTCGAAGCTTTGCTGCAGCTGTGCCGAGCAGCGGGCGCTCTTCGCTTCCCTCCAAACGGAGCCGCCGGAGCACAACAACAACAACGAAGCGGAGAACCTGAATCCGGACAAGATGAGCTTTGTCCAAAAGCTGGTTACCTTCTTCGATTTGGATCTGCTGCGCGATATAACATTTGTGAACCTGGTCGCCGGACTGACGGTCATCAACTTTGGGGAGCTCAACTTTTCCATTCTAACGCCGTTTATACTGACGGACTTTGGATTTGATACCTCACAGATCACAGTGGCCATGTCGCTGATGGCCGGTATGGACATAACCATGAGATTTCTGGTGCCGTTCATCACTGAGAAGATGTCCTGGGATAATCGCGTCTTCTTTCTTATTGGCGTCGTGGGCATCGCCATTGGACGCAGCGTCGTCGCCTGCACCAGATCCTATGTGGTTATACTGGCCTGCTTTGTGTGGATTGGCCTGTGCAAGGGCGTGCGCACCATATTCTGGCCACTGATCATACCCGGCTATGTGCCATTAAATCGCCTGCCAGGCGCCTCTGGACTCCAGCTGCTCATCTCGGGCCTGTTCACGCTCTTCTGCGGCCCCTTTGTGGGTAGGTATATACAGCACAGCTCTACCAATAACTCTATCTATACATCCATCTGTTAAATGCAGGACTTGTGCGGGATCGTTACAACTACTCCGTGACGCTGCACTGCCTCGACGCCTTGTCGTTTGCTGCTGCTGCCGCCTGGGCCCTGGAGGCGCTGCTGCGACGACACAGACGCAAGACGCTCAGTTGATCAAGTGACCCACTCAGATATACATACATATATCATTAGACTTTGATATCTAATTTTTTTGTTTTTTTTTTTTTTGTAGTTCTAAGCTATATCGTATACAACTGTACTTATAATTAAACGGACATACACCTACTATATACACGCATATAGCCATGAAGTAAAATTGCATGTGGGCATGCCATGTATTTAACTAAAATTGGTTGTGTTCAAAAAGTTTTGGGATATCGAAAGCAAAGCAAACATTTGCTATCGCAATATGCGACTCAATAGAATGTTAAATGTAGCATACTTTTGCGCGCACCGCATGAACTAATACTGCTGTGCATTTGTAAGATTATGTGGCATACTTCTAGGAACTGCTTTTAAAAGTCCCAAGCTCCATTGTATATACTTAGCTGTTATTTTTTTAACTGAAGCAGATGGTGTTTGCAAAATCTGCTTAAAATATTATCGGCTCCCTCAATGCCAACATTTATGTAGCATACTTTGGTGCGCCAAGCAGAAATTACCGCTGCATCAAATTTGTACTTTTCTATTGCATACTTTTAGGCAGCACGCCTATTAAATACCAACCTAATCGAAAAATTTCTAAATTCAAGTTAAAATATTGTTTTTATTTAGTTAATAATTAGAAAAATTGCAAAAATTTCTCGACTTAAATACATAAAAGTGACTTTGATTGGTATTGTTTTGCTTATTGTTGCATTTCAATAATTTGTTTTTATTGCTTAATTAATTACAAACAAACGCAGCTACACACTTTTCACATTGCTCTGCCGCCCACACACCTGTAAATGGGAGGGCGTGGCCAAACTAGACTTTCCATATTGCTACATACATACATATGTGTATACATATTTAATATTAGAGGACGCATCATCGCAGGAAAAAAAAATAAAAAAAAAATTCAAGCACATTACCAATACATATAAAACTAAAACTGTACGTGTAAAGCTACCAAATGCAAGAATACTCTAAAATTGGTTTAGGCTTAAAAAATAAATTCGCAACACAATAAATCAATGTATCCATCCAATCGGCCTGGGGAAATATATTACAATAGATGCGCCGGTTGCTGGTCACCTTGAATCTGCTTGAATCTTCTCGGATCTGCTGTGTCGGCTGCGTCCCGGGATTAGCTCTATCTGGGCCTGGGCGATATCGTGGACTTTGGTGTTGGTCGCTGTAGCGCAGCCGCAGCTGGCGCCGATGTCACAATCGTGATAACCTGCGAGTGTGTGCATTTGTGTGTGATCGGATGCGGATGCGGATGTGGGTGCAGTGCAGTGTTGCATAATGCGGTCATAAATGAAGAGTGTGTAGTTATGTGGTTGTGTGTGTGTGAGAGTGTGTTCGAGACAAAGCAAAAATACGGATTACATATCTAGGCGAGCGGCAACTGCATTGCGATTTACTTTGGAATTGCCATCAATGATCTCCACAGGCTCCGCTGGCACATACGCGGACAGACCCATCAGACCAAATATGTCCGGCGTATAGTTGCGCAGCTGTTCCGTTGAGGGCGTGGGCGTGGCAGCCATCAGATCGCTACTAACTGCGATAAGAGATACAAATCCAATATTAGTTTCAATAATGAAGAAGCCGGTAAGCATTAAAAATGTTTTTTTAGAAGAATCCATCCGCAACTGTGGAAAATGGGGGGAAAACAGATGTATCCTTGGGAACGATTCGAGCGTATTTTCCATGTGTACGTATCTACACACCAAAAAGTCGGAAAATGCGCGGAAAAATTGTATAGCAAACCATTTAGGTTTTCATTCGATTTGGTTGAAAGTCATTTTTAAGGAGCTAATTATGTAAGAACTTATAAACAATGTGCTTTCAAAAAATTCACCTCTCTGGGTGGAAATGGAGGACAAAGTAAGTAAGATAAAGCAAGTAAAATGCCTAAGAAACAGCCAGAAGAAAGTGTCTGCAACCCCACAAAGTATATACTATATATTCTTGATCGGGAAAACGGGCTAAGCTAATCTACCCATGTCCGCCGTCCCGTCCGTCTGTCTATACACCTGATACCCTCGTATACCCTACGCCCTTCTTTGATAGCTCCTTCCTTTTCCACAATCGATAAATATCGATTTTAAGTCATGTTTTTTTTTAAGCATAACTCGAACATTATAAGAGCTGGACACAACAAACAAGTAATCACAGATTAGGCATATATTTCACTTTTTGAATACCTCCCCCCACCGCTCGGACTCACCTGTCGCCGTGCCTGGCGTGGGTCTCACACGCGGAAATCTGGGCGCTGGCGTTTGGTAGACCGGTGCAGGCACCGATGCGGATGCGGAAAGCTCGCCGTGCTGCTGCTCCTGCTGGGGCTGATGGCGCGGTTGTGGGGTGACCACATATACCTTCTCATTGGTGTCGGGCAGAATGGCCACCTTGGCCTGCTTCCACAGCTCGATGGGTGCCGGCGTGGGGGCCGTGCTGCGCACATAAAGCGGCGTAACCGTATTCCGTGTGGGCTCTGCCGACGATGTGGGCGTTATTGTACTGGTGGGCGTGGCCGTTGGCATAGGTGTCGTGCTGCGTAGGGTTTGGCTGTGCCGATGCAGCGCCTCGTAATAATCGGGCAGCAGGCGATTGTCATCGATGGGCGGGAAACGCCTTAGCTGCAGCTGCTCCAAGTTGTTAATGGACGTGGACAGATCCCCGCCATTGGCCACGCTGGCTGTGGCTCTGCCGCCCAGCTCGAAGCCGCCCCCGCCGCCGCCGGCGCCGCCGCCGCGCGTCGTCTTCGACTGGCGCATGGTGGTTGAGGTGGCCGTCGGTGTCGCCGGCGTCGTTGTGGTCAGGTACTCAGTGGGTATGTGCTTGGAGCGGCCGCGTATCGTTGGGGTGCTGGGGCGATGCGACAACGAATTGTACTCCTGCTCCGTCCAGCCGTCAATGTTGTGCTGCAGCTTGGAGATGTCCACGCCGAAATGGGCGGGACGCTGTCGCTTTGTCTCGCGCTCCCGTTTGAGCAGCTCGCGCAAATTGGAGGCAAGTATTTTGGTCAGATATTTGGTGGTGCGTCGCGTATTTGGTGGCGGCGCCGCTGTCGCCGAGCTCACCAGCTTCGATTCCTGCTGCTCGTGCAGCTCGTGCAGCTCGTGCACGTCGTTCTCCTGCGCCGGAGCGGGTCGCAGCCGCCAGCCGGGCGTCCAGTTCGATGGCTCGAAAGGGCGCGGCTTCTGCTTCGTCGTATAGGGTATAATTACCTGCTGTGGCCCCGGCGGCGACATGCCCGCATACTGGCCGCTGGCATCGATGGCGCCATACGTGGACGTCGGCGTGGGCGCATGCGTCGGCTGGCTCAGCCGGAAGTTCAGCTCGGCGGGATCACGCGTAAATGGGCGTGGCGGCGGTGCGCCAACCTGGGCATGATTGATGGGCGAGTCGAGTAGCCGTTTGGGCGTCTCCCGTTGCCGTCCGTCGCGCACATGCGGCGACACCAAATGATTGTTCAGCTCCACAGCTGCCGGAGTCGGCGGCTCTGTGGTGTACATGAGCTGCTCGTATAGCGGCGTCACCGTGCTCGTCTCGGCCAGCTCCTGGTATTGTTCGGCATAGTACAGATGCTGCTGTTCCTGCTCCTGCTCATGCTCCTGCTCGTGCTCCTGCTGCTGTTGCTGCTGCGAGGAAGCCGCCGGATAGTTATCCGCCGGCGGGATCAAAGTTGTCTGCGTCTCAGCGTTCGACGCTGTAAAGTGACCCAGTTCCGTTAGCAGCTGCGAGGCGGGCAAATGCTGATGCACTGCTCCGCTGCTCAGATCCTCCAGCTGATATCGCACAGTGCTTATGTCCAGCGGCTCCTCCTGCTGCTGCAGCTGCTGCAGTGGCCTGTGATTTGCGGGCAACGGTGTGACGGAAGTTGCCGTCGCCGTCTGTCCCAGATCAATGGCATGCGACTGCACATAGGTGGCCGGGTACTCCACGGAGGTGATGAAATCGGTGAGCTGATGGCTTTGAACGATCTCAAAGCTGCTGCTCGACTGCTTTGCCGCGGATCGAGGCGTTGTTGACGGCACCAAGGGCACAGGTCGCAGCTCCGAGTGTGCTCCAAAATTCTCTAGCGGATACCGCTGCTGCGGCTGTGGCTGTTGCTGTGGCAGCGGCCGGAATGGTTGGGCATTGTAAACTGGCGGCATTGCCACATGACTCAGCCCCGGCACCGGCACCGAGATGGGCAGAAAGACGCTCTGCGGCGGCGCATGGAACTGCACGGCGCGCTGCCTTTGCTGCGATGCCTGCGCCAGAGGCTGCTGTTGCCAGGCCGAGATCTGCTGCTGATGCGGCAGCTGCTGTTGCTGTTGCAGGAGCAGCGGCGGCTGATGCGACTGCTGATGCGGCAGCTGCTGCAGCTGCTGCTGTTGTATGTGCGGCGGCTGCTGCTGACCAAACATGGGCACCCAGGGATACTTGTTGCACAGGCCGCATGGCTTGCCAGCGGCATCAAAGTTCTGTGTCGGCTTTGGATACGCATAGCTCAGCGAGCTGGCGCTCAGCTGCTGATCCCGGGCGGCTGTTCCAGATCCGCCCAAGCCAAACCACCGGGCAACGCGTGTCATGAAGCCAGCCTCCTGCGCCGGTTCCGAGTAGCCCGCATGTGTCAGCCGTTGCGCTACGGGCAGCGCTGCTGCTGCTGCTGGTGCTGTTGGTGCAGGTGGCGCCGGCGGCGGCACCAAATGATCAGCTGGCTGCGGCGGCGACAGCGAGGCAGCTGTCATTAGCAGCGTTGTCAGCGCAAGGCCCAAAGTTGTCAACTGGCTGCGAGTTGCCTGCAACAAGACCAAAAGCGATGAGAGTGAGAGTGAGAGTACACTGACAAAAAAGCCGAGTAGATTCCACATATAACACATATTTATATAAACTGTTTTCCTTATACACTGTTTATACTACAAAACGCATTTCTGTTAAAACATGGCACAGACACAAGCTTACAAAATATTAATTGAGTACTTGATGGCATGAGAATCGCATAGAAAGGCAATTAGTAAGCTTTAAGAAATCGAACTACCTGATATATAATTATATTTAAAGCGTTTTTCGCTCACTGCAGGCCACTGGGCTATTGATTGCAATCGCCATAAATTTCACATTTCACTTTTCGGTTCATAAATTGAACGGCTCAGACGCTGGCAACCATTCATTTTCGGCCAAACTGGAGCGGGCCGTAAATGTTTGGCATTATTGGTCCGGTTACGAGACAAGACCCATTAAACAGCGCTCAGTAGAGCCGGTTATGCGACTACGTTTCACGGCCAAGGTCTGGCCAGAGCCTGAGGCGCCCACCTCACGCATTTGACAAGGGGAACAGGTTAACTGGGGACAAGCGGCACTTGTTCCAGCGCGAATCTGTTGGTCAGCCCCGAAGAAAACTGAGAAATACTCGCGAAAATATAATTTATAATATAGATCATGAAGGCAAAGGCATATTAATGTGACATTATATGCTTGGCCTACTCAAGAGGAAATTTGTTTACTTTCTGCCAACTGTTTCGTCTTTTATCTCAGATCCTGCAAACTGTTTCACCACATTTTCATTCATAGCACAAAATATTGCCGAGGTTTGTTTTTATATTAAGTATTTACGCATAGTATTGATAGCAGAATTTTTAATTGTGCCGATAAAACGACTGAAAATGAAAAAGAAAACAAATAGAACGGACCTTACCGATACTGATTATCAGATTCTCGGACATTTGCTATGATAATGCGTTATTTCAATTGAAAAATGACACAAAACTGATTACAACGTCGGCAAATAAATAAACTGGACTAAAGAAACAATCCCAATGAATGTTCTAACATTCAATTGCTGAATCAATATTAAATCAAAAGAAAGTTAGTCGCACCAAATAATCTCTTATTAGGCTAACATTAAAACAATGCGACAAGTGTATGACTAAGATACAAATAAAAAAGGCTCTACCCGAGTGTGTGACAATCTCTCGGCACCTCGAGCACTTGAGGCTACCAGCAAGCATACGAGACAGCGTCGTCCTCACTTGGACTTTGAAGAGGCTTCTTTAGATTAAAAGCTAATTAACGTCAAAGTCACATCCACACATCCAAATAACAATAATGTCAGGGAGATAGGCACAGATAACACTCAGACTGGCCACCTCCACTAAAATATGTGAACGTGTGTGTGCCCAAAGTAAATCAATTAAATATTCGCGCCAATGCACAGTGGGACTTGAGGCTCGAAAAGCGTTGAAAAATTAAAATTGCGCTAATGTAAAAAATAAATAGAACTAGAGATATTCTAAAAATTGAAGCAAGAGAAATTAAATTTGCTTACTTTGAAGTTGACTTAAGCCAAAAAAAAAAAAAGGGAAACATATTTAATTTTTAAAAGTGCTTTGCTCATAATCAAAGCAAGTATAATTTGGGACCCAATAATTGTATTTACAGCGAACCACATTTGGTCGATGACAATTTTGGGTGGGAAACAAATATAGCCCGCAGCTTGTATATGAAAATACTTACGTCTTGCAGTATTTTCAGTACAACGGGCAATAGTAAAAATTTTAAAAAAAGTTTGAACCAAAGTGCACAACAGGTTCCACTGTGCAGCGATACGAATATGATCTAAAATATGTCTATTTAAGTGTGTAACTGCGGGTATGTCGAATCGATTTAGGCTTGCTGTTGTTGTTGTTGCTTTCTCTGCACTTGGGGGGCGGGGCGGGGTCGTGTCCCAAATTGTTAATTGAGCCCAGCCAATGGGTCAGCTACCGGCCGCCAGGTGGCGTCATCATGATCATGATCAACAAGCAACAGCAACAGCAAATAAGTTTTTGCTGCTTCGTCTGTTTGCTGCATTTACATTTGCTTTCCATGCAACTGAGCTGACCACAAAAAAGTTGCATGCAACACACACACAGCGTACCCACAAAAATGTTGAACTTCCTTTCATGTGCGTCTAAATGTCAATTTGCCATTATTTATGGCTGCTTTTGGCATTCGCCTCGCTCATTGACATCCATGCCTACATGCCATGCCACGTCTCTCTGTGCCTTGTGGTTGGCTTTTTACTTATTATTATCATAATGCAAGCTATCAGCCTACAAGTTTTTTTTTAAAAAACACCACTGACTACCATGTGCTTTGGCTAAGACAACAGTCTATCCCTTGAAATCCGGACTACAAATCTGTCTACTCAGTTCCCTCATCTAAATAGAACTGAGCAAACATTTATATGAATGAACTCTACTGGTTTGGAGATTGTCAACTAATCTTTAAGCTTGACAAACCATTTACTTGTATCGATTATATACACGAAAGCTTGTAAATTTGGCAATGATTAAATTATAATGTGCCTGGCTAGTCTGTAAAACATAAGAGTTTTTTATTGCATTTATACTTGGATCCACAGCCAAGCTGCAAACTCATCATGATGCACAATTAAGCCTAATGGCCTAATTTTCATAATACATATTTATAACCCGGACTGGGAGTCAGCTTTGAGTCAACTTTGACCCAGAGTCAGTTTATGGAGCTGCCAAGCTGCTGAGCTAATTATGTGAAAACGAGCCGCACAATTCGCTCAATATCAATGGCAATGGGTAAGCAGCCGAAAAAAAAAAGTGAACTCAACAACAATGGGCGTTGACTTTCTCATAATTATTGTGGGTGGCATGGCGGGAGCGGGAGGGGGGAGCGGGGAGGAGGGGTAGCACATCTTTCTCCATGTGGGGGGGGCAGAAAGGCACAACGTAATTCAATTAGAGGCGCTGCGACAAGATATGAAGAAACAAAAGCAGCGTCCAAATCCGCGGGGGCTGTGAGGCTTATGGCCAAGTTATCGTTGTTGTTGTTGTTGTTGTCATTGGTAATAAATCGGGGTCAGCGCAATTTCGAAAGAAAGTGAAATTCTGCAACAGTTGGCAGCTTCAGCTACAGCTGATAGATGGAAACAAGCCTGGCTCTACTTCGCTCGCTCTCTCTCTCTCTCTGTCTTTATCTCGCTCTCTCTGTCTCCGTCTGTGGGTAAACCCGTTTCGTGTCGATAATAGAGGCAACTGCTGCTGGCAGAAACTCAGCTCCTTCGCATGCAACCTTGGCTTTGCACTTGAAAACGCCATAAGGTTTGACAAACGACCCCAGGCGGTCGGGCGGGCGGTCGGGCGGTCTGGTCGACGGGCGGACAGACAATATCCAATCCGCGACGGGCAACCAAATGTTGCACGCGATCCAACAATGCGCCTGGGAATCTTTCAATGCGGCCGGAGGAGATGTTGCAGCTGCCGCAACCGCAATTGTTGTCGACCCTATATGCATGTATGTATGTATGTATAGGTGCATGTGTGTCCATATGTCTAACAATCTTGAGCTTTGGGTCTTCCTCGAGTCTGTGGCGGCAACGTGAAAAGTGAAATTGTCGATCAAAAATGTGAAAAGAGGAGACAAAAACGGTCACAAGCATGAAAAGCGCAATACACACATATGTATAAAGTAGTTAGGTATGAATGTAAATCTATGTATGTACCTATGTATGTATGTATGGGCATGTACATTGGGTTTTCCGTGCAGCAGCAACAACAACAACAACAGCAACAATTGCAACAGCAACATTCGCAATAATTCACATTAGGCGTCGCGCATATTTCTTTTGCTGCGACTCAAAGAAATTAATTATGAAAATATTCATCGCATGGGGCCGTAAATATTGTTAGAAAAAAAAAGGCAAGCTACGCCCAGACGTTCAAAATTGCATTGCAACAGCAACAGCAACAATAACAACAACAACGACAACAACAATGATAGAAATGACTTTTTCTGGTCATATGGAAGTGCAAATGATTATTAAGTTGGAAAACATGACCCATAAAAAGTAGCATTACAATTTATTAGGTTTCTGAACCAATGAAAAAAGTAAAAACGCAAAACAATATGATACAAATTGAAAAAAAAAATATATATAAACATGCATGAGGCTTGTATATGAATGATGTATAGGGAAATTATAGTCGGTTGGTGGGGCATCTCAAGGGGAGGGCTCAGCAGGTTTTGTTAAATTTGTTATTAAATGTATGCATTATGATGATTCCCTACCCCGTGCCTTAATTAGATTCAGTTCTTGAGGAACTTTTAAAGGGATTCGAATCACTTAAAGAATAATTTACAATGACCAAAATCAACAGCTTTTATATATGTACATATATGTACATATATATATGGAATATTCAAAATATTCAGAGATTTATATTTAAATATATATGATAGATATACGCTTTGATAAGAAACTAAATATGACCTTCGTCTAAGATATTCATAGCGAAGCCGGATCCACATAACTGGGTCACAGCCTGGACCTGGGCCAACTGAAGAAAAGAACAGATTGAATATTCATATTAGATATTTAACGTTTTAATTATTAAAAAAAAATCTATTCTCTGCTTCAGAACTTACTTCAAGCAAGCTGAAGAACCATTTTAATACATACATACATACATACCTACATACCTACATACATACATACGTACATACGTACATACGTACATACATACATACGTACATACGTACATACGTACATACCTACATACCTACATACCTACATACCTACATACGTACATACATACATACCTACATACCTACTTGCCTACTTGCCTACATACCTACATACCTACGCCTCCTGCTCTTCCGGCTCCTCAGCTTCCAGCGATGAGGCCGCCTGCGACTAATTCATAGGTGAAACCTGCAAGCCCTACTTAAATTTTTGAGAATCGAGGAGGAGGGCAGCTTTTATAAATTCGTTTTCTTATTTAAATTTGCCGCGCAATAAGACAAATTGGTCTGCTAT